AGCACGGTCGTTCGTAGCCCGATTGTGTTGTCAATGAACATACATTATGATATAGATTTTTTGTTTACCTATTTCACCGTCTAGATGTAATATCAACCTTCTCATACCCATAGTGCCAATCCTCGCCAGCCATGTCCTGTCTGATCTTGTAGTTCTTCTCAGCGACTTCAACCGCGCGCATGTCAACGCCAATAAGCCTCATCCCTTCCTCACTGTCGCTGAAACTTCCAGGCACCGTCCCCACGATGGGAAGCGTGACTTGGCTGCACCCAAAGAAACCCTCCTCCGCCGGGCCTGCCACGTTGCAGTAGATCACTGCAGCGGTATTTTCGAAAGCACGAGTGACCAGAGCATTTTGCACAAATAATCTCTCACAGTCGGGGTTGTACTCCAGCCCGTCGGAGGTCATATCACCAGACGTCCAGTAAGACGGGACGATTATGATTTTAGCACCGTCAAGGACCAGCTGCCGAAATGCTTCTGGGAAAGCAAGGTCCCAGCAGACAAGGATGCCAACCCGACCAAGCGGTGTATCAATCGCTTGGTGGGGGTTGTGGGATGAGTCGGCGCCGCTCAGCTTGGCAAATTCGACTGAGGATGTCAAGTACTGACGTTCAGGGATCCAGATATTTGTCTTGGTGTAAGTTCCCAAGACTTTGCCCTTACCGTCTATGAAATGGGACTTGTTGAGTACAGCTGGCGCAGTCGTGTCCTGGGAGTCAGAGGCGAAAGATTTGGACACTATGGTGCCGGTGCAGATGTTGATGTGAAGCTCTGCTGCCAGTGCCTGATACCGCTGCTGGTAGTCGAGAGCGTCCTCGGGGGACAAGGCAAACGAAGGGTCCTCGGGCACCCAATCTGTCAGATGGTACTCGGGGACGATAGCAAGGGCTGCTCCGGAGGCTGCCGCCTCCCGAATCTTTCCAGCGGCGTATGCATAATTATGCTCCGGATCGAGACGCTATTGATCAAAGACATTAGAATTTCATTCCAAGCAGATGACAGGGACTGTGACGTAGTGTGTGTACCGTACCTTGGGCTTGAACTGGATAAGAGCGACCTCAAATCGCGGCGACGCCATTTCGTCCAGGGTTGTATTCGAAGCACGGTCGAATTCAAGCGTAGATAAGGAAGCGGACCATATCCCTCAAAATTATTTTCCCATGATCCGATGAAATCTTTAAGCCACACAAAGAGCCTGAGTGATGAACGTTTGCCGTGGATCTGTTGCTCCCGTTGTAGAATTGATACCCTTTGCTTATTGCTACCGCTTTGGGAAAGGTTTGCGGGCAAAATGCTCATTGCGTCAGCGATAAGGAGCGTTGCTTATCTATCACACTCGATTGGGTAAAGCGTAATGCTCTGCACCTCTGCTTTTCGACTCTTGTCTTTGTCAAGAAGTTGCGATTAACTCAACATCTTTGGAAAATCGTCCGACGGCTGAATGGATATTTATTCGATACCTACGGGGCTCCTGATGGCATTTCCCGGATACGTCATCTACCCAAGTAGCAGGTTGCCTCCAGTGCTCGACAGAACGTCGCTGTGAAGAGCTCAACTGGCATTGATGACCGAAATTTAAAGTGGTAGGCGAACTGATGATAACCTGTCAAACATTATTATTAGAAAGGGATCACGCATGAGAAAGAGGAAAAGTTCTTCCAATGGCCTTCTTTGGGAACTGCTGATAGCACCGGGTGAAGCAGCTCGTGCGAAACAAGTGCGTTGTCTTGCATTATACAGCTACCAGACATTATTACTAAAATTATTTTCCAACTCTGAGAAAATGAGGTTGTGGTACAGTATTTGCCTGTGAAAGAGCGCTGCTTTTGATATGGCTTAGGGTAGCAAAAGCCGTTCCACGCGCCTGTGTGCAAAATCAAAAGTGAAGGTATCTGAGCACGTTCTCACCTTGCTCTCACCTTCACGCGCGACCTCTCCAGACCACGAAAACAAACACAAATGCGCGCAATTCAAATCCAACTCTTTCCACTCTCTTCACTTCATTCTGAAAGATTCTTCTGCTTTTCGTCCTTTTCTTTCACTGCCACGGCCGCTTTCCTCATCATCTGCCAAGAAAATTGCAGCCGCCATGCCCTACGAGCTCCGAGGCACGAACGAGGAGAGGGAGGCGAAAAGAGTTGAAACTCGGCTCAACTTCGACTGGCTTGGAAATAGCTGGCTTCCCATCGACATTCTCAGAGCCGAAGAAGCCAACATCTCTCCCGCCTTCAACATCGAAGCAAGACTTACTGTGCTCCATCACATGAGAGACATCACCAAAACCGCCAAAGCCAGCCACATGAGGCTCTCCTATCTTTGGAGCTCTGGAGGTCCTCTCCGTGAGGCCTACGAAGAAGAGAGCTCACTGACAAGCGAAGAATTCTGGAGGATCGCGAGACAAAACCTGTCGGAGAGCGAGGCTCGCGCCAACTCCTCTTCTTTGAGCCCAGCTTCGGACAACGGCACAAACGACACCGTTGCGAACAAACCTGCCCACTGGAAGCGTCGCACAATTAAGTTCCGATCATCCAAAAACATGCCCAAGCAAGCGCAATCAGTTGAAGCGCCCAAGCCAACTGCCAACCCCATCGACTCAGACCCAACAACAATCTCTCCCGGTTATCTCATCCAAACCGAGACGAGCAGCCAACTCAAGGAGCGCCTCGACACGCTGACGTCTCAGATCGACATTGTGAAGTCTCACAAGGAGTACTTGGACGCCAGAATCGCGACTTTGAAGCGGGCAGTCGAGAACCTTGACGCCTTTCGAGGCGGAGTGGGAGTGACTTTCGACACCTACCAGGCTCGATTTTCGACTCTATTCTCCCACGGCACCGCGGTCGGCACCAACGGAGCGACGGAACTTGGCGGCTGCCTTGATGTGAACGAAACAAGCGACTTGGCTGGATTCTTTCAGAATGACTGCGCGCAGTTCAAGCGGAAGCTGGAAGCACATCGCGAAGTGTTCAAGTGTAACATCGACGAAGCGTACCGCAACTTGGCCGAGGTCATGAAGGAGTCTGAGAAGCTCAACGTGTACAACAATCTTCTCAAGGATGTTTGTCAGCTGAAGGAGAACATGGAGCGCCACCCCGGTGCTTGGAAGATGTGAAGAGGCCTCGATCTCAGGTCTGACAGGCGAAGGTTCGAAATTGGCATGAGACTTGTGAAGATCCGGACGGGTGCGAGGAAATTGGCGTTGATTCGTGTTGCAATGAGAAATGAATGGTAATTCTGGAGTTTTGCCCTTACTAGGTAGATTGTCCGCATGGTTCAGCTCTGTGTTCTCGGGGTGTAGCAGATCGAATCACCTTCCACGGCGCAGGCAATTAGATAAATGGAACAAAAACCACTGATTCAAAAGACCCCTGGCCATTTGTTACATGGTACCTGAAAGAGTCTCCTCTACGTGTAGCCGTGATGGCGAGTTCCCTTGCAACTGACGGTACCTCATCGCTTCTTGAACCATTCACATTCCCCAATTTCCCTAAACCGTTTCACATTGAGAACGGTATTACATGGCAGGGAAGCCTAGGATCACAGGACTCCCCTAAAGGTGACACGGCTCTTTGGAAGACTTGTTACTTATTACCACCCCACAAGACCAGAATCTAAACAACAGGAGATCCCTAAGTTCTTCTAACTTCAGTTCGGCTGGAGGCTATTGCGTAGAGGCTCGACTTGAAAAAGTCGTTATTGTATCAAAGGATCGATCTCCGGAGGTTAGAATTGGGTCACGTTTTCCAATGTCACGTCGTGTCCCTCAGTGATACTGTGCGCGGTGAGACGATTTACCAGCGAGTACACAAAAGCAGGCCAGTAAAGGCTGAAAACGGCCGTCGCGTCAGTTCGTTTGTCCCACCACAAACAGGTATATCTTACACCGACTGGCAACCGATTCTGACCAAATTCTCTCCCAGATTCCGGAACCCGGCGACTCTTCAATACTGTTTCTAATTCGCTCTGAAGGCATTGAAGCGTACGGTCGCTATGCGGTACTCTCCAGTCTTCCTAACCTCTGCCACTCTCGCTGGTATCAATGCTGCGACAATCCGAGATCAAAACCCACTCGGCGAGGAGTGGACCATCGAATCGATGAAGCGAGTTTGCAATGACAACGACACAAGCTGCACTTGGACGTTTCGCATCAACACCCACGCCGAGGGAATCAAACCCACTGCCGTCGAATACATTGTCGAATCTGCCAACAACACGACCGCGTCCCGCTCGATCGGTGGTCCATCCAAGTTTGGAATATTCACCGTCACAAGCACATGGAGGGACTACTTTGGGCTGGAAGGTGCATGGACAACGTTGAGTGTCATCGACTATGGCAGGAAGGTGTTGGTGTATCCTGCCTACACAGACAAGCAGGTCCAAGGTGGTGAGGTTGTCAAGCCTGATCAGGTCTATGTTCCAGAGAACGTCCCATCTTAGCAGGGATGGCCTTTATTGCCCTCTTTCGCACTGGCCGGTGGATTGGTGAAGAAAGCACGTTGAGCAGGGTAGACATTGTTGGATAATAGCCAAGGCTGAAGTAAGGATTGAATATGAGCTCCGTGTAATTCTTCAAGAACTGCATCAACGTACTGTGCTTGGTAGGGGGCGGGCGCACGTTGGAGCTACAACTTTTGATTTCCCACATGGAGCTGGTACGAACTTCCCAATTGAGTACTGGAATATGGTAGATGGGCTGTGTCAGAATAATTCTTAGTACTATAAGCTCACGCGACACAATTGAAGCACCCGCGTTTCCAGTTTGGAGACTCCCCAGTCACTCGTAATCACGGCGCACAGCAAGCGATCCATTAAGGCTTCACAATGGCTTTATTTCTTTTCAATCATTAAATGAATAGCTACGTTGTCCAGACATTATGAATTACCAATCGTATTCTTCATGTACAGAGCGCGATAATCCACCCCGACGAGTAATGAATAACGGCTGCTAATGGGTATAGGTATATACAAGCGTGCGCGCGCGCGGTCCCTCCTCATCCTCACAGGGCGGCAACAGCAGCAACCAGACCGGCCACGGCCACGGCGGCGATCCTCATGCCAGTCTCCTTGGGAGCTGCGCCGCCCTGGGTTGACGAAGATGCGGCGCCGGCAGTTGAGGCGGATGTCGAGGTGGCGGTCGTGAAGGTTGAGGAGCCGGCGGGAGTAGTAACAGAGGACTCGCTAGATGAAGTGGTGGAGGCATCATCGGTGCTTGAGGTGGGAGTGGCCGAGCCCTTGGACTTGCTGGCGGTCTTGCTCGCGCTCTTTGTCTGCGTGGCGGTGGCAGTTGCGGAGGCAGAGTTGGGCACGGCGCTGTATGTGGCCCAGAGATCGGCGCACGAGGAGACGTAGCCATATGCCTTGGCATCGGGACACTGGCTGAAGAGGGTTGAGATGCTCTGCTCGTGGGAGGTGTACCAGGCTAGGACGGACGAGCCGTACTCCCGGATGTCACTCTGGACCTCGGAGGGCCAAGCAATGTTGCACACATCTCCAGTTTCTTGAGGGCGTCGGAGGTTGGTGTTGGTCGCAACGGCGTCCATGAGCTTTGTCGGGACCGTGGGGATGCCCTCGACATACTCGTCGAGCGCGGCGGAGCACGAAGCCTCGGCCTTGTCGATGGTGGTAGTTGTCTTGCCGGCGACGAGAGAAGCCGAGGCAGAGAGGAGCACAAGCAGAGAAGAGGGATGCATTTTGGTAGATTAGGTGAACCTGGATATTAGATAAACGAAGGACTGAGGTTGCACTGGTGGTATGTAAAGAGCGACTGGCGAAACCAGGAAACATCACGAACGGCGCCAGATGGGGAAAACAAGCAGATTATATATAATTGCCTCTTTCTGCCCCCATTGCCGCCGCCGGTCCCTGTCAGTTGTCAACAAACCCTCATCTCACCACTGGCATCAGCCCAAGGCGCCGGGACCAGGGCAAACGCCACTGACGGCGCTCTGGGGGTGGGGAGGAACTCTGGAAAGTGGGAGAAAGTCTGGGCACTTAGTCTTGATCGAGCAGAGCGGCGCCCCTGGACGGCAAATTTGAAACGCCGTCCGCGGACGTGAGTGGCCATGTTGCGATCCTGCAGGCACCGCGCAATTTCATTTCCCATGGCCCACAGTCACATTTCTGTCTTTTCTGTCTTTCATGACAGCCCATCGGCCCATATTAACCATTCGGCCTGTTCCGTGCTGGGATCACGCGCTGCTGTTCGGTAATTGTTGCCCATAATCACCGGGTCTTGGCCCGGCCTGGTAACGAGTTGATGAGCAAGACCAGATAGGCGAGGCCCTTCAAATTGCACGGACATTTGAGCAGTCGGGGCTCACTGACGCCAAAGATCCTTCCAATTTATTGTCCAATTAGACCTGATTTACACTGGATCACCATCAGCCTTACCCTCGAATTATATCCAGCCACCGAAATGATGAACACCCATCCCTGTCTTCCCTTTTACCCTTTTTGTTCAATTAGATCCCTGTCAACAACCCTTTTTGAGCGTAAACACTTGGGCTCCGGTGGCCGGTAAATCACTGCCAAAGTACGAACCGGCAGTTGCAAAGTACAGCGTCCCGCGGTCTCTGGCGGTCTGGCCAAATACACCAGACGACGCCTGGCTGATTTCCGACGACCCATACTCCCAGCTGGCAACCATCTCGGTTTTCCCTGTCTCCGTAACCTTTTCGATTCCATTGATCCCCATGCCAGTAGCCAAAAAGCCTGTACCGTCGCTCCGCATTGCAAAGTCGTCAAATGTCGACCCATTGATACCGGTCGTAATCACCTCGGCGGGTTTTCCGACGGCAAAACCCTCTCTGTCGATGGCAAGCCGCCCGTACAGGCCCTGGTCGGTATTTGTAAAGTACACGAATCCGTCTAGGGCGTGAACTCCGTTTATCCCTATGGAGAGGGTTGGCGACGGCACAGTGGCGAACAGCGGATCCGTGCTCACAGTTTCGATTGATCCCGTCCGTGTGTCTAGGCGAAGTAATGAACCGGCATGGCAGTCGGCGATCAGAAGATAATGCGGAGCACCAGGAACCGGTGTCAGGCCGTTGAGCCAGCCCGCCGAGGGGAATGGGAAAACCTCTGCCTTCGGTCCGGACAGTGTAAGCGTGATAAGGTGGACTGCGTTGGTTCCATTGACCACCTGTCCTGTGTTCCATATAAAATTGTTTGCTGTGACAGCAATAGTGTCTGCGGTTGAAGAGGCGAGTCCAAAGATGGCAGAAGAGGATGGCGACAGTGAAGTCACATAGTAAGGAGTGGCTCCAGCGGTGCCATGGAGAGGATTAATGCCGAAAAGTTCACCCGTATACGAGTTGGGGATGATCAGTGTGCTATTCGGAAGGATGGCAATGTTTTCGATCCTCCAGTCTTGTGAAAGTTGTGTCAATAAGGTAGGCTTGACTTCACCCATAACCAGAGACGAGAGTGACAGCAAAGCAGCCGTCAAGCGCAGCGCAGACCACATGTTTCTAGATATTATTTCGGGGAGGCAGTGAAGGAGATACTGTACAACTCAAATAGCAGGTTCGGTTTCAGGAGTGTGATCAGAATTTGATGCCTGCCGCGAGAGTCACAAAGAGGTGATGATGGACCTCTTAAATACTAATATGAATCACATTACCGGTGATACGGCTCATTCCCCTCCGCTATAATTATTTTAGACGAGCACCGGGAAAACGGCGCAATGCCATTCTCAGCAGTCCAGTCACAACTCGGTCAAGGGCTGTGCCGTTCAACACTCCTGATGCAGTCTAGTCACTCCAAGATGCTGATCTGACAGTCACCTAAGCCAAAGAAAACTCCCAGTATTAATTTGAAATAATATACAATGGGCTTATTCCTTCATTAGAGCATGGTATTATAGCTCCATATCTTGCTTGTGTGGCCCGTCGTGATTGATGGCATCGTTCCAGCCCTACCGTATAAGTTAGAGTCAGTCAATGATGCAACCCTCGCTTGTACGGCGACGGCGCTGATTTCAATCCTAAAAATCCACCGACTCAATCCAAGCGAAGCAATGTCAGCATTTGGGGGCCAACATTCCGTTGCTGATTGGCTGTGTCGTTCACTCTCCCCAAAAAAGTCTAGTTGGGTGTGGCCCTGGATAGAGCGGCATCCTTTCTGGTGTCAGCACATTCTCGCTTCATACGTATTCCAGAGACTTTGGCTTTAGATATCACCTTGACGATTTCCATCCTATGAAGACAGTTGATCGTTTAGATAACCCAATCCGACAGTCCCGCAGGAAGAGTATACCGACTAGCGTTCCTTTTCTTTGATGAACCGGGCATTTTAGTCAATGGAGAAGACTCAAGATGGCCTCCACTCTGGCGAGCCCTGCAAGCCACGGCCAAACGCCAAGCGGAGATTCCGGCCAAAGACAAAGACGGGCTGCCATACGTGCAGGTGAGCTAGTTCAGGCCCGAAGGAACCTTGACTTGACGGCGTTGGTGAAATATGGTTTGGTTTAAGAAGCTGACATTGGGGCAGGGTCAGGAGAGTGAAATGCGATGAGGCAAAGCCGTCCTGCAAGCGTTGCTTGTCCACAGGGCGAGTTTGCGATGGCTACACGTCCATATTTCAAGTCGTAACCGTCGGACCATCGCCGCCAACGACCACGGCAGTGAGCTCCCCGCCTACGTCCCTGTCCATATACCAGCCAGGAGCTTGCGTGGTATCCGTGGACGAGATCAACAGTCTGGCACGCAGCTTCCATGCCAAATACTATCGTCACAATATCGGCTATCACGCCGAGGCCCGCGCGATACTCGCTAAGCTATCAGATCCAGCCATCCGACACGCTCTTGTATCTCTCCAATCTCTACACCATGAGTTCGATGCGCGGCAACAGCGCTACAGCCATGACGACGGAAATGGCGGGCTCGTACGTATTCATCACGGCTTAGACGCCTACAACACCTCAGTCACAAGCCTCGCGTCCCGCTTGGGAACGAGCCCAACCCATGAGTCCGTTTGCGCGGCGCTCTTGTGTTGCCAAATGTTCATCAGCATTGAGACGATGCTGGGCAATTACACTGCTGGCATGGGGCACTTCATATACGGGCTCCGTATCATGCATCAATATCGCGCGCGTCCCACGGTGAACCCCAACGGCCACCTCGAACCGTGCAACATGCCTCTTCCTGCTTTGGACTGTTTCCTGATCAAACTGTTCGCCTCGGGCCGTCCTGATGTCAAGCCGATGCCAATCAATAGGGTATCCGACACTAACACAGGCATATTCGACATCTCGTTGCAAGAACAATCCCGCGGGGAGCTGGCCGCGCTCTCGTCGCAGGTGTTGCAGTTCTTGGACCAAGTCTCCCGTATGCAGACATCTCGCCAGGTCAAAGACTTGGAAGTCTCCAAGGCTCACATGCTCGCCCGCCTCGAGTCCTGGGACTGGATGTACACCCAATCACTGAAAACTCTCATGTATGCCGACAAAATACCTGTGGGTTTGAAATTTGGCGCGATATTTACCTTGATGTTACATGGCATCTTGAAGGTCGTGGTGAGTTTGGCCATGAGCAGCTCACCGGCAGATCTAGACAAAGTAGACGCGGATTTCCTGAATCTCACAAACATTTCGAATGCCGCGACGGAGGCGAAGAAAGCCACGGCTGGCAGGGTCATATGATCAAGCCAACCATCTCCCTACTGTCGCCAGTGGTGGTGTTGGGGCAGGATTCACAGACAGATTAAACGCACAACTCTTGAATTGATAATCGACTCCTGTGACATATAGACCCTTTTTTTCTGCAAGATGCATCTTGAGATTGACCAGCAGCTCAAATAATCTCCGCTTTTCGCTACCGATTGCGCATTGAGCTGGAGACGGGCAATTTTGCACCCAATTGCGGTGTCTGAGGGGTCCTTTGCCCCTTTATTATTATGCGGGGTCCAGCAGCAAGGATTGAAATATTTTCCGTCAGCCTGCTCCAATGCCAATTGAATTAAATCATCATCGTCATTTGATTTCGTAAGCACGAGATCACCTGCGATTGAACGTGTCGCGTGCCCAAACCCAAAGGCTGCCGCGGTCGCCGGCCTCGTATACAGTGAGTCTGCAGGATTGCTGGATGAACAATACACCAGCCGCTTCACATTTGCCAATCCTTCTTCCTCTTCTTCCTCTTCTCATCTCCCTCTGCGTATTAAGTGTGCGGCACGCGACATCGTGGAGCGCTACCTCACCGCCCCCAATGCAACTCATCGCCGCTGAGCTGTCCACTCATCAATGGTACTAACCTGGCCAATTTTTCTCTAGTCCAATTGATCCCTCTCGCCTCCGCTCCAGTTGGTGTGTCGCGTGTAGCTGTACGGCGCTGGACCCAGCACTGCATCGCCGCGTCGCATCGTCGCGTTACATTCGCCCATCATGACCACAGACCGCTCCACGGGGGAGCTGGGAAACCTGACAGTCGAGGAGGAGCGCAAACTCCAGCAGGCATGGGCGCATATCCTGCGCCTCTGCGACACCTCGCACGCCAGCAATGAGGTGGGTGCCTGGGGCGAGACGCCTCATCGGAGCGACGAGTTTCAGCAGCACCTGAGCAGCGTCCCGTCTGATCTCTTCAGGAACAGCCTCTGGAGGATCATCCTGCTAGACCATCCTGATACCATCCTACTCCGCTTCCTTCGGGCGCGCAAGTGGGACGTGGAAAAGGCCATGGAAATGATGGTTTCGGACATGAACTGGCGTGAGGAAGTCAAGATTGACGAGCACATCATTGCAGGCGGCGAATCCATTGCGTTAAAACAGGCGCTCTCGGAGGATGACAAGGGATTTCTACATCAGTATCGGTCCGGAAAGAGCTACGTGAGAGGAGTTGACAAGCAACACCGCCCGGTCTACGTGGTCAAAGCCAGACTACATGACCCGAACATGCAAACAACCAAAGCCTTACAGAACTACATCTTGCACAATATCGAGAGCATCAGGATTTTGGTGAAACACCCCAAGGACAAAGCATGTCTGTTCTTCGATATGACGGGTTTCGGTCTCAAGAACATGGATTTCGAGATTTCCAAGTTCCTAACGCACGTTTTTGAAGCGAGATACCCAGAGACGCTCGGCGCCATCATCATCCATAACGCTCCTTTTGTTTTCTGGGGTATGTTCTGGTCGTACACCTTATCCGATTTGGGTTCGCTCTTTCTGACATGAAGCTAGGAGTCTGGAGAATCGTCAAGGGTTGGCTGGACCCGGTTGTAGCAGCCAAGGTCACATTCACCCGCAACGAGTCCGAGTTGCACGAGCACATCGACAAGGACAACCTACAGACCGAGTATGGCGGCAATGATGAATGGGAGTACAATTACATCGAGCCCAGCCACGGAGACGACCATCTTCTCGGTAAGGAGGAGGAAAAGGCCCCGATTCAGGATGACCACAACGATCTAGCAAGCCAATTTGAGACTCACACCGCAGAATGGCTGGCCCTCCACCCTGATACACCTGAGGCGAAGAGTATATCTGCAAAGCGAGATGAGCTGGCTGAGAAGCTGCGTGTAAACTACTGGAGGCTCGATCCTTACATTAGGGCCACAACTTATTATCATAGAGTGGGCGTCGTAGGCAGGACTGGAGAAGTGGATTTCAAGGGCGCAAAACAATGAATGCAGAAGCGGTAGCTCGCCATACATCTTTCCCCATCTTAGCAGTGCATGCAATGGCTATTTCAGTCCCTCATTTTCATTGACATCAGTTCAGTTGAGACATCACCTTTTATCGGGCGCACAACGCGACGGAACACCAACCCGGCAGAGGGCTTCCAGAAGCCGGGGTCATTGTACTCGTGTAGGGCAAGTTAGCCATCATCCATCTGCAACGTCTCGAGTGACCCAAATCAGAAAGTCTTCATGAAAGACTTCAACTGCTATCCAGATTCGTTTCTCCCAAGGTCTCCATTATTCCGCTCCGCTGTTATCGAATGGCCCACGGGGATGATACCTTGACACTTCATCACCCAATTTCCTATTGGCTGCCAAGTGGGTGAAATAAAACATGGCACACCAAAGCTCTTTCCGTATGAGACAGGAACATCGTTTTTTAACTAAGCATAATAAGAAGAAAATAATAAGAGGATAATCAACTATTCTATGATATTTAGCTTGATATTGTATTCCGTACTGGGTTATTTATTATGATATTATACTGAAATTCAATGCTGAACTATCTCGATGTGCCATGTTTTATTTCACCCACTTGGCTGCTAACCCATCAATTTACGCTAGATGATCATCGCAGATCAACGTGGCAGTCGGATCCTGGAGGAGAAAGATTTTCAAAAGACGAAGCAATCGCTTGGCACTCTAATAAGCAGGGTTTACCTGTGAAAATCGTTGCAAATCGGCAACGGACTAGGAAACGTGCTGAACAACGAAAACTCTCGGATCGCCCGGCTGTGAAGAGATAAAGCTTGGCCGTCTCCATGTTGATGCTCCCTGCACAAATGCTGATGCTACCCTGTACCCAATATTCTTGCTAGGCGGATGATGCGGGCTTTGTTTTTAACGGCTTTCGTGCGGGCCCTCCGAAGCGGCAGTCATGTCTAGAGATTTCAGATAGATGCTTCCAGAGTGGAATGTAAATGTTCACATTACCACCATCAGATTGATTGTTTGGTTGCTGGTGAGACCTTCTTCAGGGCTTCTCCACCATCTACCGACGCGCCCGAAGATATCGCCAAAAACGTGGACATCCCGGCGAATATACACAATTAATGTAGTCAGTCGCTATTGAGTTATAATTACCCGCCAAAGATTTGCAATAGCGCAACAGATATGCAGGTACCACGGCACAATGGGGTAAGCTCGCAATACTCTTGCGCATCACACAGAGTATGGAGCTGTGATTGGATGGCATCAACACGACAATCGTTGCCCAAAGCGCCTAAATAGCTGGTTAAAAAGTGGACTGGCTTGGCTTGGCCTGGCAGGTCGTGTTCAGGCTCCCTCCCACTCTAAATCCTCCCGGTGATGGTGTCCTTCTCCTGTCTCCCTTGCCTTGCCTCGCCTCCTGTTGCCCTGGACAGGAGAGGCCGGGCATCTCTGCGTCCAACCGAGGACCAACACGTCTCGAAATTGGATTGATGCAAGCAGGCATTCCGGTAGCTGCCAACAGACCTTTGCACTGCCATTGTTAGCGCTTGATCTGCTCGTCGTGCCCCAGTTATCTCAGGGGGTGGCACCCAGGATGTGACCTTGGCGGCAAGCAACAGCTCACCACCAGCCGCCAAGAGCGTGCTTCCACCCGCCATTACGAGCGAACAACTCGCTCGGCCCCTGCTTTTCCTCTGTCCGGCTAATTAGTGCCTGTGTGAAACAGGCACCGCGATCCACCCTACCGAACTTCCCTGCTCGTGGCGTCTGTTCATCTCCTTCTTCACCATGGCCCCTGGCCCAATGGATGCACGTTGGCTGCATGAGTGCCCGTATTCATGGAGTCCAGCACACCAATATTAAAGGTTGGTGACGCTCTCACCCGCTCGATCGACCTTCTCTGCCTTCTTCTTCCCCATTCTGCCAGTTTTCAGCTTGTCATTCCTTCCCAAGCTCACAGTCGTTCCCTTGACACCTCGATCATTATTATCGATATCGCTCTTTTGACCCTTGACTTTTAGCCATCCCTTCTCAGCAATAGTCCCGGTGACCGTTTCCGCTCAATTACCTCGAATTCGTTTGCCCAAGATGCGTTTCGCTGCCATCGCCCTCTCCACACTTGTGGCCAACGCCGCCGCCGGTGTTATTGCCCCTCGGGCTGACGCTGACTACTCTGGCGTTGACTGGACCAAGGTTGATTACTCCGGTGTCGACTGGACCAAGGTCGACTACACTGGCGGTAACAAGGACAAGGACAACAACAAGCAGCCCGAACCGGTCCAGAAGGTCCCCGAGCCATCAGTTGCCCCTGCCCCGACCTCAGTCTCCGTCCCGACTTCGGTCCCCGCTGTCGTTGCTGCTGCCGCTCCGACCACGACTCTCGTTACCAAGGTCGCCACCTCTGCCGCCGCCGTTGCTACCGAGTCCACCACACCATCTAAGCCCTTGACCGGCAGCCTCTCCGACGACCAGCAGAAGGCCCTCGATGCCCACAATGCCGCTCGCGCTGCCGTTGGGAACTCCCCACTGACCTGGGACGACTCCCTCTCCTCCGATGCCCAGTCGTGGGCCAACACCATCGCCACGCTGGCCTCCCTCACCCACTCCAGCGGCTCCGGCCAGGGCGAGAACCTGTACATGCAGTCCGACAACGGCTCTCCCTTCACCAACGCCATCAACTCCTTCCTCGCCGAGAAGAGCCTCTACAGCGGACAGGTCATTGATGGCGGCAACTTCGGCGCCTTCGGACACTACAGTGAGTCTTTTTTCTCGTTGGAAACTATGAATGGGCAGGTAGCTAACTACGATCAACTATAGCCCAAGCTGTGTGGAAGTCCACCACCAAGGTTGGCATGGCTGTTGCCAAGGCCGCCGACGGAACCAACTGGGTTGTTGTCCGTTACTCTCCCCCCGGTAACTTGTAAGTTAAGCTTCTTTGAGATCCTACCGCATCATTCGGGACACAACAAGTATTAACACTTTATGCGTAGCATCGGCCAGACCCCCTACTAAACATCCGACTCTTTCGCACGACGTTATAGTTAGGCCGGTGTGGGAAGCTGGGACATTTCGACATTCTTATGCAACAAGTGGTTACTTCCGCCAACAGACCAATATTATTGTTTAATGAGCTTAAATTCAATATATTTAGCTACTTTTTGCGGTAACATGCACACCGATACGAGTGACCGTGAGACAATATAGTTGACTTGAGTAATGACTTGTAGGCCTTTCAAATACTAAACAATTTGGAATTGACGTAAAATGGGAATGTAACGAAAGAGCTTCTCATGGCAGTGTACATAGTCTGTACGTTTGTCGTTGTGCGTAGTTGATGTCCTCGTTGTTGCCACACGATTGTTGCCAGCATCACCCTGCAAGGACGCGCAAGGGTGTGTCTCGGACTCAAACCTTAAAGCTTAGGGCCCGCCCGTGTAGGGCCAGCACTGACAACTATTAGGGACTAATTGCTTTAAAGTCGGTTTTACTGAATGATTATTCAGATGAAAATCTAGGTAGAGTCGTCCGATCGTTCAGATGAGGGCGTTTCTTCTGACAAATACCATGGGTAGTGATGTCCATTTTACAGCCACCAATGAAGAACGAAACCTCTAATCTTGTACTATGCTGATGGGAAAGTCAAATAAGCATGAAAATGTAATATAAAGGAGCGGAAGCAGAGAACATAATGAATATGACCAGAAATATCAAGTAATGCAGATATGGGGTCCCTACTTGTGAAAGGGGAGTTCATAAAGTTCGGGTACTTAACGAACGTGATATCTACTAGATGTAGCAATAGCCAAGGAGAAAGTGTGAGAACCTGCCGTGTATCTGATGCTATGATTGCCGTGTGATGAACATCAAAACGGATAGAGCGTGAAGCTGGCCAACGGCTAAGAATGGGCCTCCTCCCACCAAGAACAGAGGCAGAGTCCACGATGTTCACAACGATACCCTTCTTTGAGCCTAACTGACTTCGAAACTGAGAGGCTGTTCTTTCTAGGCATTGAACCTTCTCGACTCACGAAAGTGAGGCTTTCTCTTACTTGAAACGATGTGCCGGAGGTTGGTTTTGGTCAAGCTGAAGCTATGAATTAGGTGGCAGATTAAAGACGTGATGTCTTTTGTATAGCCTCATGAAAATGGAATCATGCATATAATTTGCTTGATGAACTAACGTTGTACATTCTATAGGAACATACTGAGGCCGGCGAAAGCATTGTATCATCCCTGTTATTAAAAACAAAAAATATATCTGTGGACGGTCTTGGAGGAATTCGACCCTCAAGGAATCCTTTGGCTCAAGCTATCATATGCTGCCTATTGCTATAATCCCCGCGAGCTTATGGTTTGGATGAATTGTTTTTGTGAGGTACGTGATGGGTATCATCTGTTGTGCTGGTCTCCGCCTCCTCTTCATATAATACTATTAACGTTAATCTGTTCGCAGGAGGAAGTTGAGAACCTGGCCGTAATCATCACATCGACAATTCTTTATGTTTCCCCACATAGCTGCCGACAAAGAAGACTTGATGCACGAGAGAGGGATAACTTCTTCGACCCCTCAAGTACCCTTTAGATATTGATAGTTTCCAGACCGAAAGGTGGCGATTCTTCACTGTGTGCCCGGCCGAGTAGAATATGGCTGAAACCATGTACACCGCAGATTTAATTTCGAGCATCATTCTGCTCAAAGCAACGACGTCTCAACGGAGCAGATACCTGTTGCCAACAAGCGATTGAAAGCTGCAGGAAGTTTAGGTGGGTTGCTCGTTGCTGCTCCAGATCCCTTCTTGTAGACGAGCAGAGACAAATCGCAGCTTGTGGCGGTCTGGCTGACCTATCTCAGCGCCATCACTTCATTGCAAAGTTAGAAGTCAAGCACGCTCTTTGTTGAGTTTCTGTAGAATTAATTGGATCGGAGGTAGACGAGAACTACCACCGGCAAAGTATAGCTCGTATTGTATCCTGGGAAAGCTGAAAAGAGACGGCTCATTCACTGAGACTGTCTAAAGTGGCGCCTTCCGAAGGGCGAAGAGTTCGCAGATGCCATCAGACAACTATCATAGTGCCCGTAGAAAAGAATCACCCATAGCTGGTATGGAAAATACTGGATGCGAGTGCTATAACCACGACGAGGATGTAGCTGTGAGCGAGTGTTCCGAGGCAGTCTACGCCTGCCACTTCTGCTGGACATGCAGATTGAGAATTGCCTTACATTGTGCCGGATTTGGGTTCGAGGGTATTTCACTGATGCCTTAAAACACCTGTGATGTTTAATGGGCGACATGATGTAGTAGTAAGTTGAATAAATGCCATTAATTTTCAGTGTTCACGCACTAATACACGCTTTTGGGATTATGCTCGGCCTCCATTATCACATCCCTTACCACTACAATGCCATCCGGGGACCCGTCTGCGTGTCGTATATCCTGTAGTTCCATATCCGTATTCGATCTTCCGGAAGTACCCTGATCTGATTCGTCGCCATCAAGCCTCGTGAAGGGCCGTTCGTCCGTTTTGTTTGACCTAACATAGGTTGTCGAGCTGCCGTAGTTCTTGTCCATTCCCCATGCACCACTGGCTTGCCTTGGTTGCCCTGGCTTTGAGCTGCCTTTAGTATTGACACTCTTATCAGCGGTTGAACCGAATCTGCCATATGTAATCTTGTTGATGATTGGTTTGAGGAAGGGGAGACAGGCTGGATGAACTCGAAGATTAGCCAAGGTAATTGATAAGTGGCCTGCGTGGATCAACCAAGCTTACCGCATAGAATGGCGACATTGCCTTCGACAATTGTCCACGTTCCAACACTGGCAAAATTCCAAGTGATGTCCACATTTGTTAGATCAAGATTTATGACCTGTATCAATCGTACCAGGGAAACAACCGTAACACTACATCCATATTAGCATCAACCAAACCTGCAACACAAGTTGTCGTTTCTCTGTTGTGGCCGACATACAAGATACCAACAACGAAAACACCTCCCAAGGCCAACTTTTGTTGGACTGGTAACTGCAAGGACCAGATATAAGGAATCGGCAGAATGATCATGACGATGTCCGTCACGATGTTGGGAATGGCATTCCCAATAAAGAATGGTAACGAGTCGACGCCGCAGTGGTATTCGGAGGGCGGGAGGGGGTTGTAGGGGTTGAAACGCTCCCAAAACGCGCGGGTCGGTAGGCATTGACAAAACGTTGCGACGAGCTTAGGCAAACAAAGTAGACAGTCAGTGACATCTGAGCCTACTTTTCTTAGGGGGTGATATTCACTCACCAAACTGAAAGCCCAACCAGAGGTTGTCGCGACAAGAACCCAAATAATCATCTTAACCGATCTTTTGATGCTAAAGGACCTCCAGTAAAAAGCAAGGATGGCAAGCTTGACAAGAAGCAGCGTCAGGGTGTAGCAAATCTCGCCGATGAACAGCCCTATCGCCCAGGCGTATGTGCCTTCTGGGCTTGCTACCCAGACATGTTGACCAACCCCTCGACTCACAGCTTCTAGAATGTTAGCAGAGAAACAAGCGCGCCAAAGGGACTGCACTGACCATATCCTGCCACCCCAGAGACGTGGACGACCGCCGGAATCTACGATGCCTTTGTTAAGATCTTGCCCTAGAAGAGTAATGATGAAAAGAACACCCACCAAGGCGGCTACAACAAGCCAGTCATCGTACCACAAATTGAGGCCCTTGATCCTCCGACTGATGATGCGAAGCAGAACGGCAAACACTGCGAGAAGCCAGGTGGCGACCGACGCCCCGATGACCATTGGCCTCTTGTCAGCCGTAAGATCTACGCCATCAGGCGGTGATGGGAGAGTTGACATGCTGATCCAGCCTTATCGAGTGTCGCGGCTTTGGAATATTTAGATATATGAGATGTGACAGCAAGGGGAAAACTCAACAACGGGTACAGGGCAAGGGAAATATCATGTCAGCCTTCGAAAGAGGCTGCGGGCCGCACTGGACGCTAATCAAAAGTCAATCGCAATCGAGAAGGTGAAAAGGGAATCTCGAGTCAAGCGTGCCCCAGTATAATGTTGGAATGTGACTGAGAACCGCCTCATTCTGCCCAAGGGACCCCGCTTCCTTTGGTCCAGGAAGCTGGTAGATCCTCTGGGCTTAGTTGCATGAACTATTGAAATCACAGGGGCGGGAAGTCAAGCGTGGCTACCGATTAGCCAAGAGTATAAATAGTCTCAAGCCATCTTAGGACCATGTCCCTGTAACTGAAAATCCAGCTCAGCGCGGATCCGGCGTGTAGGTAGGAAGAGAGAGCCTCTTCCACGTCTCACCATCATACGAGGAGCTGATATGTGTCCTAGCGTACGAGAATCAACATGTGGTGGCGAGAGATGGGACTGTAGTGCGACACTAACAGGGTTGAATCGCTTTGAGATCCCCATCGGACCCCCTTTGTCGTCCTGCTTAACCGAGTTTCGTCTTCCGCTTACGCACTAATGCTTGAACACTGGGAAGGTTTGCTGCAGGTCGGACTTGTTCGGCATTCACGGGCCCGGGTGAGTGGTCCAGCTGAATCATTACGGGCGGCTTCTCAGGGATGAGGCTTGCAAGCTAGATCGTTGCCAGGCATCTTGTAATCCGAATGGCCTGATATAGTTGCCAGGTCCACTTCCACCTGTGCCTAGAGTTGAGCCCCAAAAATCCTCTCCACCAAGGTCTGAGTTACTGATATCTGATAGGATCATCTTGGGTCAGGAGAATGAGAGTAGGAGAACGAAAGAGCCCTGTATCACGCACTGTATCATGACTAGCGTGAGGCGCCAAGCTTGGTGTTCCAGTAGAACAAGGGCTTACCCCTTCTTCTGACAAAGATCTTATTGTGAGCCCCGTTTTTACATGGAAATTGCCTCTCTTTTGATCTGGTGTTGGCTTGGTGTCGGCTGAGAGGTGAGTATTTAATTATGTACGAAGTGTCCAAGGCCGCTAGGTCTGCCTTCTCTGTTCTATCCGGACACGGTGAAATATATTACCTTGATCACGTCACAAAACCCTTATTTGCACACCATGTCTCCCTCCGCCGAAAGACCCACCATCATCGCGTGTCCAGGTGCTTTTCATGATGCATCACCTTATATGAGCAGCTTTATCAAGAGCCTGAAGGCTGCGGGATTCGAGGCTGAGGCCCATGGCTTGACCACCCCAGGCCATCCCGAGAATGGTGTCAACGACGATGAGAAGATGATGAGAGATGCATTCGTGCCACACATCGAGGCCGGTAAGGATGTTGTCCTTCTCGTCCACTCTTATGCCGGCTTTCCCGGATGTGGGGCGGTGTCGGGTTATGATAAGAAGGGCCGTGAAGCTCGTGGTGAGAAGGGTGGTCTTTTGGGCGTCGTCTATATCGCTGCCTTTGTTCCCCAAGAAGCGGACAGCACTGTTAGCGCCATGCTTGGAGGCGGATGGGCACCGTGGCATGTGCCTAGAGTAAGTATTTTCCACCTTCTCTTGAGAAACTTAAAAAGGGTTTTTGGCGGTTGTGATACTGATGTGTCTGTTATCAGCTTGAGGAGGGTATTGTCGGTACACAAAACGAGGTTGAAACCTTTTACAGCGATTGTGACCCTGCTGAAGTAGCTGAGATCCTGAAAACCGTCAAACCACACTCGCTCAAGGCATTCAGCGAGCCACCCTCAGCCTTGGGCATCAAGGAGGCGGGCTACAACGGTCGTCGTGCCTACATTAGATGTCTTCAGGACAAGGCTCTACCACTGCCTGCACAGGATGCTTTCGTCCAGAACTCCGGCGTTGAATGGATAGTCAAGTCCATGGATACGTCGCACAGCCCATTCTTGGCGGTGCCCGATGAGACAGTGAAATTGCTGGCGGGCATCATTGAGGAGTTCAAGGCGTGAAACTTATGCTAGCGTAGATAGTATCATCAATGGACCCCAATACATCTCTGACACTGTCGCATCCATCATTTTCTTCGTTAACGTTGTGGCATCAGCGCGGGTCTCAGTGGTGGTTACTCAACCCTCAACGTACTCGCTCATAGAGTATTTTTCAAGGATACTGAAGCGGTGAAGATCTGGTGTATCGCAGTCGGGATCGATCCAATCAACTTTGGTGCATGACGATCTTACTAGGTATGCATAAGATTAGAAATCCTTTTAGCATATACGTGTTTCGTATCCGTGCACTGCCGCAAACCCCTCTTTTCGTTTCCCCATCTTCTACTGACGATAACCGTGTTCTTGCATCACCTATGACATCTGTGGCGGCTCTAAATGCTACTCTAAAAATGGGCTCCTATCATCTGCCTGTCTGGGGTCACATGTAGGTAACGTTCATTCATTTCGGTTGGATCGGCTGGCTAACAACAGACGCAAGCACCCTGCTTGTTTTGACAATACTCGCATTTGCGCCGCAGCTCTACTTTCTGGTTCGAAAGCAGGATAGCGGTCCGATTTCCATTGTGTATATCTTGTTGAATCTTGTCGTGGCCACTGAGCAGTTTGCTGTGTCCTACTTTTTTGCCATCTATCCTACCAACACCAAGTGTCTCATTTGCCCGACCTACAGGGGCATATTCTCTCATACTCCTCTTGATGCCGGCGACTGGTTAAACTTTGCTCACTTCTTGACCGTCTTCATTCTATGGCTTATAATGTACATTTCTTCCTTCGCTCCTAGTGATTAGCTACTAACAGATACCAGCTTCATTTTGTGTTCTCGATATCGTCCGTCACAAAACCGAGAAGAATCGACAGTCTTTGTTAGACGCCCTGAGTTGATTTATGCATGGTTTCTACTCTTCACGATCGGGCCCCTTCTTGTAGAGACCGCGTTCGGGGGAATCGATTATCGCAGCAGGACGTCGCTTATTCTTTTTGTCTACCAAATCCCCCACATATTTTACCTGGCTCCGTTGATGCCAGTAATTCAAGCAATAGGGATTGCCGTGCATCTTAGAAGAGATCGCGAGAATCACGACCGAGCGCCGCTGTATATCCAAGGGGGGCTGGTAGCGCAGACCATCATCTTTTGTCTCTTGGCAGTAGCTTGGCCATACCGTCTGTTACTTGATGATGAAAATTGGAGCTTACTGTCTTGGTATACGTTTACCGGGTGGATCAGTATTAGCAGTGGTATCTTTGCATTTGGCCAAGGTTTGCTGCTGTTCTGTCCGAGGAGGGTAAGCCGGACCGAGGACGACGAGACAGGAGAAAGGCGAGCCCTTTTACACGATGCGCCGACGGAGCATACACATGAAACAGATGGTAGCCAATAAGTGAATATGAGGCTTGCACTCGGTTGTTAAAGGGAACGAGGCTTAAGGTTGTTCGAGGTAGGCGTCGTGTTGAAAATCCTTGACATATGTACAAATATTTCTCGCGTGAGGGCTTATCTTAGGAGAGATGGAGGAGTGTTAAATAGTTGAGGAATACTATTTAATAAGGATTCACAGCTGCAATATGACGAGCACGTTTGACCATTCATCCATTCATTCATTCAAATGGTGGGCAGCCCACGAATTGATTGGAACTGAAGCTTGCGCTTGCAGTAATGAAGTCGCTTCAAGCGCTTCAACAACTCCAAAGTCTTCACTGCCCTTGGATATAATATACATACTCTTGGTCTACTTAGGTTTTGTCGTGGTGGAAACAGCGCTCCTTGTGAACTGAGCAAAAAAGGAAACGGAAAGAAAATATATAATTCGAAACACTTGTCGTTGATGCTCCTTCGAAACGAAGCTAATAATACCTTGCCCCGTAGCCTTGTGTAAAAGAGCGTAGGAGATGTCCCTTTAGGTGGACGTTGAGAATGGATCAGAATATCTGTTAGGCGTTTCAATTTGAACGGCATGAGATTCACTTTGCCGACGAACAAGGTTCAATAAGCAATGAAGGTGCCGATTTCTCCCTCATTTTCGCGGGCATAATGTATCCAGCTCTTGCTTTTGTCATCATTCGCCCGTTCCCAGAACGAATGCAAAAACTTCAATGCGGTGTGGTTGAACCACATGCCAGTTTTTGTAAGAGAGTCCATAAAGAGCTTCCCTATTAAGGCTTGCCTTTGGTCATCGTCACGACACTCTGTGCCAGCAATCAAGAGCGGAAAAAAGATTGTGTGTGTGTACTCATGCACTGGTCCAGATAAGGTGGATTCGAGATCGTTGAATAGTAGATTTAGTAGATGACTGACAGTCTCTTCAGCAAGAGCATTCCGTGGTGTCTCAAAAGCCTGGTAACTGTAGATAATATTGGCGTAATAGTGTGAGCGCAAAGCCGACTCTAAGCGATATTGAGAGGTTTGTTGATGCTGGTTGGTGATTTGAGTAATGTTTGTCAAGACAGTCTGGTACGCTTGCTCAGCCCGACTGTGCCAGTAAGGCATATCTGGAGGTGGAGGGGACTGTTGAGCATGTCGCGTTCTTTCCACTACGGTGATTTCATTGATCAGATCAGTGAATGACCAGAAGGAGTTGCTGTGTGTAGGTTGTAACGATGGGTCTGCATCCAACAATGGGCGTCTGTTAAAAACGGAGATGCTACTGAGCGTTTCGAGATCAGCCACTTCTTTTAGCAAGAAGCGTTCTATTGGGTCTGTCGGTGCCTGTTGAGAGTTGCGTAGCTGATACGTATCAATAACAGTGCGACAAGCACCCAAGTGAAGAGCCCAGTCGGTTGAGCCCGGCACAACGGCACCGGAATAACACAACACAAGCATCGTGGCTAGGACTTGGACAATCTTGGAATTCTGCCGGTATCGATTTAGTGAGACTACTGGCTGATCGGTCTGCAGTTCTTGCCGCATCATGGTGTTGAGGATCCGGAGACAGGCATCGCGAAACCAGTTGCGCATCTGGAGCAGATGAGCTTGCTGCGTGCTGGCCGCGAGGGAGGTAGTGGACAAGTGGGCAGCTGCGAGGCATCCGATTGATAGGCGCAATGAGAGGCAGTCTTGGGCCAAAGAGAGAATGATGCTACGCCAAGGGTGCTCTGACAGGTCGATCCAAGTCAATCGAGGTACGACCTGCGAAGAGAAGTGACTGAGGAGGTTTTCAAAGAGCACAGACGACGAATACTCCCTGACAAGATGAAATTCCGGAGATGGATGCGGCAGAGCAGCCTGCATTACCTGCTGCTCTTGACTGACGGGCCTGTGAGTAGGCACAAGAGACTTGTCGATCTGCTCGCTCTCAGGAGGTGGGGGTTCTGCGGGGACGCTGGACGCTGCTGCTGATGGGGTTGTATTGCTTGGGATGGTGTTACTTTGCTCCGGTTTACTCTTCCAGTGCTCCGGAATGGATTGCCCTGAAAACTTGCCGTTTTCTCTGGTTAACCCTTGGATCCATTTCAGCTGGAAGGGGTCGTACCCAGGACATTCAACCCCCCGACTGATGCATTTCCGGCACGTGGGAATGGTTCGGTCACATTTTCGCCGGCTCTTTTTGCACTCTGGACAGTCTAATAAGGTGGGTAAAGCATCAGAAAGACAATTCACCGCCAGTTGGGGGCACCACGGAACGCAGAGGCGGCTTACCTCGAGGGGCTACTCCTGGGGAGGGAGAAGAGCCTGAAGCGGTACGTTCCATCTGAAGCGACCTCCATGAGCCGCTCTGCTTGACACGCAAACACGTTACGAAGCCAAGCAAGGTCAATGTGATGACAAAGGGAGAAAATCTTGCTGGTCGGTGGTGTGGAGTGGGATGGCGTGGGTGAAAATGAGGGGTCAGCTGCAGGGTTTCATGACACATGGACACTAAAATGGCCGACGAGAATGAGGAGTGCTTTAGTGGGTCCGAGCATACTTACTCCCATGATGTATCGATGAGTTGAATGGAGAGTTGAAGTAGAACAGCCGAGTGACCAAGGCTTCGGCTGATGTCAAGCTATTATCGAGTGGTACCGCAGCGAGTGTCCAAGCTCTGGCCGACAAGAGTGTACCGCTACTGCGTATACTAACCATTGCTACGAAATTATTACTATGTAGGCCTAGTTGGACTCCGTACTACATGACCAACCGTTGATTTACTAGAGGCTAGGCAATACCGGTTCTACCCATGAGGTCCCACCGCCCCAAGTCACAGCGCTAAGACATGGTGTCGAGCAGCTATTCTTCAGCCTCTGAAATGTTTGGTGATTGATATTATTATGGTATTTTTTCTTTGACCACTTGACCAATCGTTGATAACAGTTACCGTGGACCCGGGTTTAATTTTGCCTTGGTTTCTTGCTAACTAGTTAGTGTTTAGCTGGAATGGTCTTTACGTGTGCTCAGTGACTTTGATTCGCTGCCAAAGCTGTTTCTTATTTTGAACCTGCCATAGGGTCCATTTGTGTTTATCATTAACTGACGTAGTATAGAAACTAGAAAATACAATATCTCACGGTGGATAGGTACGGTAGGGTAGTCTCACCAGGGGGGACGAACTATAAATTGAAACGTGGGCCCCAGAGATGTTTGGTGATTAGGATTTCAATGAATTGCTAAATTAAGCATATTTGAAAGGGATCTGAGCTTCTTTCGTCATTCCCAACATCCAATTCTGAGCATTCGGTGCCTGATTCCCCGGATTCAGAATTGATTGGGGGGGATTTACCCCGCGGGGAAATGCTACACGTCGGCCTTCGGGCTATCTCTGCTGGGCATTCGGATGAATGACCGTGGAGCCATATATGCACCCCGAGTCCGTGTTGATTGCCCCTCAGCAGAGACTGTCTCTCCCTTTGAGCCTCGTACTAGGCCCACGACCAACATGGAGGTAGACGAAAACCTTCAGGGAAACCATGAGGATCCCAATGGGAGTACTGCTGAAGCGTCCCTGGCATGCAATTGCTGCCGTCGGCGAAAGTTGCGCTGCTCTCGGGAGGTTCCGACATGTCAGCACTGCCGCAAGACAGGTACGAAGACTTCACTTATTGTTCCATTTCCATTCATTGATCAGGTTGCTAACAAGCATGTAATTGGATGAACCAGCGACAGAGTGTGTTTATGAAGCGAAGCGTGCCAAGCCGGGGATGAAAACCGGTGCCATCGATAACTTGCATCGTAGACTTGGTACGCACAGGCCACACATAACTATTACCCAGCGGATGCCTTGAGTCACTAATGTGATATCTTAGATGCTTTGGAGAAGCTGGTTCACCAGAAGAGCATCAGCGATGCGGACCGTACCAGGTCTCAGTCTACCGCATCTCACAGTGACACTGATGCTAGTCCTTATCATCTACTCTCGTTTTTCACTAAAGAGTTCCAAAAGTTTATTGAAAGTCGAGAACAAGCACCTGAATCTTCGCCTCTTCAATCTTCTGCACCGGTAACTGGCGGAGGCAAACGTCGGCGATTGGACCGTGATTTATCTTATCATGCGGGACTTGGTGTTGAGCATGCACGAACGCACACAGACGAAGAGCTGCAGCTTATCCTTGATGCATATTTTACACATCTACACCCGTGGATCCCAATGATTCACGAAGCTAGATTTCGCCAAAGGCTTTCCAATGATGATGAAAAGAAAGATCTACAAATCATCATTCAGGCCATGATTCTGGCGGCGACTAAGTATATGAAGGATCCTGAAGTAGCTGCAAGCTTTATGCCTTCCCAATCCCACATGCAGCAGCTGAGGGACAGTATTGTCGCCACTGCAATGAGACAGTTGACTGTTGAGAATTCGCAAGCTCTTCTCATTGTCGCCTTTAATGACGTAAGAACACTTTTAGGGCCTCTTCATGCGTAGCGATTGCTTATATACTGGCAGATTGGTTGTGGTCTTGCTGCCCAGGCATGGTCCATCGTTGGTGCATTGACCCGCAATGTCGAATACCTTCAGCTAGCCACAGAGAACGATGAAACCGATAAGCTGCGTCTGTCTCAGCCCTTTGCATCTCTATCTCCCCCCAGAGACTGGACGGAAGCTGAAGAAAGGCGGAGGGTGTTTTGGAATGTTTTCAATCTTGACCGTCTTTGCTCTGTGATGACGGGATGGAACACGAGTCTCACCTCCGACGATGTCAATCGCCGCTTACCATGCGATGGTATCAAGTGGCGGAAGGAAGATGCCGTTGTGACTCCTTACTTTGGAATTTGGGATAAGTCTGCTGGCAGGATCGGGAACCCTCTCCTACTGCTTCCTCCGTACTATCCCGCCACTGGGTCTCAGCCTGTTGACCAACCTGTACAAACACCGTCTGACACAGGGACATCTCCGGGAGCGCCTGCTGAACTTGTCGATATGTCTACAGTAGGAGCATTTGCATACTCGATAGAAGCAACTGAGTCTCTGAGTCGAGTCACAACTTACTTTCTGCAACAAAGGGTCAACATGCACGACCTGAAAGATCTTAGCAGCTGGCTTACCCGGTTCAAGGAGCTGGACCTTCGCCTTATTCACTGGAAGATGCTTCTTCCTCACAAATGGAAGGTTGACGTGACTCGTCAACACTCCAGGATGGATCCCAACCTCACATTGGCGCATGTCACACATAACGCCTCCATGATCCTCCTGCATCAACTGATTGCCTTTCCCCTCTCTCACTGGCCATTTAAAAACCGCCTGCCCAGCCTTTGCAGTGCGGATACATGCCACGCAGCTGCAGTCGAGATTTCCATCATCGCAGAGAACTACCTCAAAAATGCGCCTGCAACGGTTCCAGTTTCCAGCCAATTTGCCTTCTGTCTATATGTCGCTTCGAGAGCACTTCTATTGCATTCAAGACACAGCAAGGGCTCTGGCCTTGCGCCGCAGTTTTGGTCGTTGGTAGACAGCCTCAAGGCTATGGCCCGACGATGGGTTGGACCAAATGCAGCAGATACTGATCCCTCTCAGGTGACTAGTATCGCCGAAAAGTATGCTCAGAAGCTGACTGATATGTATTCTGGCATTACCAAGGATCCCTACTTTCAGCTCTCTGTTCTAGGATACACCAATGAGATAGATCACTCGTCGCCTTTGCCTGTGTCGCCGATGGATAGAGTTCAACTTCAGGACCAAGAGAAAAGCTACCAACCCCCTGGCTTGCAGCCGCTGGATTTCTCATACTCGATAGAGAATGTCGAAAGCCTCGATACAACCCACACACGAGGGGTATCTACAGAAAGGGCGAGAAGGAGGAGGAATCAGTCACAAAGATTGCAGCATCAAGATGCACCTGTCGCAACTGAATTAGCAGGGGATTCCATTCAGCTATCGATTCAACCGGCTGTGGGACCAGGCGAGGTACAGCCGGTTGAACAACCCCATCCATACACTGGAGGAAGCGTTGATCTTGGCTCGATATCCCAACTGCTCCTTGATCAGCAATTCATGGATATGGACCGGATCATAAGCTACGACGATGGAATGTTCGGAGCCGAGTATTAGCAGATATTACACCATGGAGAAGGCTTTACAAGGTCCTGGCATTTCTGGGAGAGAAACTGAGGAATCTAAGCCTTAATATTTAACGAATGATAACATAGCTTGTACGATCTGTGAGGGAAATGTATGGTTAGGAGGGAACTGTACATTGCTCTAGACTTTGATAAAGGCGGGTCTGCTTGTACTTCAGCACGCTCGACCTCACGGAACGTTATGTGGGATGAGTTCATGAGACTGAAAAAAAAGTAAAATGAATAGGAGAGGAAATGGGTTGCGATAGTAAACTATGATGTAAGAGACTTGTTAATGGACAAATACTATGAATAAGAGGTCAACTCTGAGAGGACTAACAAGCTGAGCTATCTGGCGGGGCATCCATTCAGCCGAGATCCGGTTGAATAACTCCGGGCGGAGTCAGAAGTTCGAAAGTACACGTTTGGGATTAATGGTTTAAATCTGCCAGATAGGAAATATAGAGGAATCACCAACGGGTCTCGCCACCAAAGACACAGACCTGCAGCATCAACCAGCTCTGTATCCACCATCATGCCTTCTTTGCTAGGTTTCACAGACAACGCTTTTCTTAACCGTTCTGATTTGGTGACAGCTGCAAAAGCTCTAGTTCGGCCTCTTGAAAGTTATCGCTCTGATCTAGGTGCACGCGTCAAGATTCGACCAGCAACAGTGGCGGGTTTTGACGATGTCGCCGCGCAGCTTGAAGGCTTCTCAAGACCGTTACTGGCCATCGGAGCTTTTATCAATGACGAGAGAGACAATTTGGTTCTTCTAAGGTGGATGAAGGGACTAGCAGCGGGTGTTGATCCGGATGGCGTGGAATATTGGGGGGATATGACGGATTTCGACCAGCGGATGGTCGAGACAGAGTCGATTTGCCTCGCCCTACTCACTGCACCGGACCATCTATTGCCCCTGTTAGATGACAAGACAAAAAACAACCTAAAGGTCTGGATGCGGCAGATAAACCAGCACGACATGCCGCCAAATAATTGGCGTTGGTTCCGAATCTTCGTCAACCTGACACTCATGAGACTCTTTGATGTGCCAAGGAGTGAGGTCAGAGACATCATGGACGCAGATTTTGACCTGCTGGACTCTTTCTATATCGAAGACGGTTGGTCCAGCGACGGGAAGTGGTCCCACGAAAGGAAACAAGCTGATTACTATTCGGGAAGCTTCGCCATACAGTTTGCTCAGCTGATGTATGTGAGGTTCGCGGTCGATGATGATAGTCGAGTTGAGAAATACACTCAGCAAGCAAAAGAATTTGCTACGAATTACTGGAGATACTTCAATGAAGATGGTAGCTGGAATCCCATCAGAATAAACAGCAATGTTGGATGAGACATAGCTAACAGACTCTACAGGAGCTGCCATCCCATTTGGGCGAAGCTTGACCTATCGTTTCGCCTTCAGCGCTTTCTGGGCCGCCGCAGCTGTGGCTGGGATTGAACTGCCGAACCCGGTCCATGAGTTGGGATCAGTCAAAGGGCTGGTCCTGCGCCATCTGAGGTGGTGGTCTAAACATACCGACATGTTCAGCTCGGACGGTATCTTAAACATTGGCTTCACCTACCCCAACATGTACCTCTGTGAAGACTACAATTCGCCACAATCTGTATTCTGGTGCCTGAAAACCTTTGTGGTCCTAGGTCTACCAGAGGATCATCCATTCTGGACTTGCGAAGAAGCCCCGTACCCTCAGAACTCGTTAGCAACGACTCAGCTAATCAAAGCTCCTCATCATCTTGTGAACAATTCCAAGGAGCATCACTTTCTTCTTTCCTCCGCTCAAATGACCAACAAGCTACACAAGGCCAAAGACGCGAAGTATTGCAAGTTTGCGTACTCTTCAGCCTTTGGTTTCAGTGTGCCGACAGGCCCATCCTTGGCACAAATGGCTCCCGACAATACGCTCTGTGTGAGTAACGATGGCGGAGAGAGCTGGAAGGTCCGGAACAATCCGATCAACACCTGTGTCGAACGTGTAATCATTGGTGGAACAGAAGGACCAGTCTTGACTAGTTCATGGAGGCCGTGGAAAAATGTTGACCTCCAGATTGAGACAAGTCTTATCCCACTCGCACAGTCTTATCCAGGCTGGCATATTCGAATACATCGGATTCTCTGGGCGCAAGAAGGTGAGAGAACTGCGTTGGCCGACGGTTTCCAACTCATAGACGGAGGGTTTGCGATCCCGGCATTCACAGCAACTGGTCACCACATCCCTGAATTGTCTCCAGAAAATGCTTCCGCTGCTGAAGGATGCCTGAAGGGAAATAAGAGTTATCTTGCCAAGTCTGCTTTTGGGGCGGGTGGAATCGTTGATCTTACGAATACATCTGCGATACAGCCGAGTGTACCTCAAGAAGGGGTTGGTGAGGCCGTCGAAGGGCTGGTTGCTAGTGAAGCTCAGATTTTGAGAGCCGATCCCAACTCAAATTTAATCCACCCTAGGACATTTATACCGATCTTAAAGCATGAGTTTGTCCCCTCGCGAACTGAAGAGATGGGCGCCTTTCATAGCACACCATTCAAGGAGACATGGCTTGTTTCTGGAGTGTTTGCAGTGTCCCTTTCAGAGTATTGGTCCGGCGACATATCGAAACTATGGGCGAATCGGCCCAGGATATCAGTCATGAATCGTCAGTCGTCTTCTGGGAGCTTGCGTTTCAAAGTAGAATGATCTCAAGCAGGGCCTCTAGAAGATCTTCTACACAAAATTTGATCAGATTTGCAAAGCCAGTTAGAATATGTCAATTTATGTACAATGAAGTCCAAAAAGCTGTTTGGGCGCTGTTCATGCTCACGACTCACCCATACAGCGGCCATACACCATCCTTCCAACTTCGTCATGAAGCAGATCAATCCACAGCAAGCTTTTCAAAAGCTGCCTAGTTGCAGCCCAAGATTTGATCCGGAGCGCCTCCAATCCCCGTACTAGCAGCCCATCAAACCTATCGCCACCGCCACCGAGCGTGACTGACACCATGAACAGAAGCCACAGTCTGAGCTCCCAAGCCCTGTCATCTGCTGGCTCTTCTAGTTGAAGAAGACTGGCATCGAGGCGTGATACAATTGTAAGATAGCTTGTATCAACCTTGTCCCTATATAGGAAAAGAGTTGTAGTTAATCCTAGAATCCCCAATCGGATTGCTTCATGCACATTCTTCCATTTCTGACCTCCACAGACATCTGTTGAGCATTCCGAATAGGTTAGATGAAGCAATCTGTACTGGATGGAAACCAAGACCTCTTGATACAACTCCGGTCGGATCTTTCGCTGTGTTAAGATGGATAAGTCGACTATAGCGCAGAGTTCTTGTACATCGGTCCAGATGTTGGAGAGGCGCGGATCGGGGAAGCCGACAGACTGGCTGAGATAAGTTTCGAGCTTAGCACAGTGGATTGTCTTTGTTTTGATTGACTTGAAGAATGGCTCCCACGTCAGATCGTCCGCGTAGAAGCATGGTCTCGAACCCAAGATCATGGAAAGTTGAAGATCAGCTCTATTCAGATGTCAAAGTCAATTCACCAAGGCTTGATAGGTGATAGTAGGCCGATATGTGATGATCGAGGACGCGCCACACCTACCTGTAACATTTCCCTTGGAGCTGGGTACTATTGAGCTTTCTCACGCCCCCTCGAATGGAAACGATCTTTTGGAGACCTCGCAAGTGGTTCATGGCACTAGTGGTATCCCCCGCTATATCGGCAGCAAGTGTCAAGAACAGAATTGCGCCAATTGTAGCATCTGCGGTGGCAGTCTTGTTGTCTTCAATGGCCTGCTGAAGCGTAACAAGCACCTGGGATAGAAGACTGGATGCTCTTGTACCAAGTGCCCCGCCATGTTCCCAAGATGTAAAAGCCTCGGCAATGAACTGGGCTGTGTACGAGAAGAGAAGATCCTGGATCATAAATTTGAGCCAGCAGGAGTCGAAGATGTCGTATACGAGGCAGAAGTTTGGCGGATACATTCCAGAGTTGAGAGTAGAAAAGCCTTTTATTTCAATAGATGAGGAGACGAACAACCTTAAGTAAGAGAGGGCAAGGGACAAGAAAGGATATCTTAGGGACGACTTACAATGAAAGATTTTATCTAGCATTTTCGGATCCATTCCAGGTGTGAAACTGAGTGAGCGCATTATCCACGGCGCTTGCTCAGGACATGAGTTTGAGAATAGTCCTCTGCTGTTTCTTACAGCAAATTCGGCCTCTGACCCACTTCCAAACGAGCTTTGGGGTGATGAGTCTGGTGTTGAAGGGTCCTTTTCCGATGTAGGATTCTTTTTCGATGTAGGATCGGGTTCAGCCGCTTGGGATGGAAGCAATACGCTTTGCTCAGCTTGAGCCTTGATCCAGGTCCCAACAGAAGGCTTGGCAACAGCAGATCCTCGCTTCGGCCTGCCTTTACCCCGGACAACGTGGCTACGTATCATCTTCATATCCTGGGCCCTCGTCTTGCCCAGATCTGTTGCGATGACGAACGGAAACGAAGTCCGTGTGGGTCGTTCTGATCTAGCATTAGCCTTTGCTTTCCGGGGAGCTCCTGTACCCCCTGCCATTCTGTCAATTGGCATGTGGATTTAAAGGCTTGTAGTCGGATGGAGGTGAAGTCAGGTCAACTGAGGTGAGGGTTTCTGCAGTGGGCACCTCAATTGCCGGCCGGTGGGTGGTCCAATGTGGGATCTACTCGGCTGTTGGTCCCATATCAGTAGTGGATAGCCAGGTCTCTGTGTGGGTGCAAAGCATTCTTTTGTTGGGATTTTACCAATGCAGGTCGAGAGACGGTGATGGATCTTGGAAGAGGCAGTACGTTGATGGATCATGGGGAAAAGGCTGTGCCCCATAAATCATCCACATCATCCATATTAAATGCCAAGCCTGAAGCATTATCCAAATCCGGAATAGGCAGCGGTGTTACCCTTAAGCCCGGTGAGGACTGTTGATCTACCCTACAGCCTCATTCGATATCTTGTTTCGCATCATAGCATCTTTTTTCTTTTTGGCTCTCGCATCATCTGAGAGAATTCTCGATTAAGAGAAAAAAAATCAAAATGTACGCATTGTTACCTTGGCGCGAAGAGCCGTTTGCGCAAAGCCACAAGCCAACAGCTGAAGGCATCAACAATGCACTTTTGGAGCATTATCGATGTGAAAATGTGCAAAGCTGGGATAAAAGGCAATGCAGTTGATAAACACAAGTTAGAAAGTACGACGAAGAGCAAGAGAAGATCAGGCGTAGACTTCCCAAACTCGACTGTTGCTTGTTATTCTGCCACAGAGCGCGAAGGCGGTGACCTCACCCGCGATGCTCCTTCCAGCCTGAGGTTCGCCTTGCCTCAAGGCTTCTCCTCTCTCTCGCGTCATCAACCCTCACCACCTGACTGTGTGTTGAATGCGACGACGGTGGCGGCATCACGTTGAAATAAACATTTTCTGAATTTCCCCATCATCTGTTGCAACATTTCTGCTTTGCAAGCTGCTCCGAATCGCGACACCCGTAACGCCGACCAGAAAAACACCGCTGCTACGCGGTAACCAACTTTGCAAGAAGTGAGATGTGATCTCCGGTAAGTCAAAAGGGCCCTGAAAGCTTGGTATCATCGTCAATCTAACAGGGCTGTTCTAGTGAAGAACCGACCAAATCTCCACCATGGACGATGCCAACTTGGAAAGCCTGGAAGTCGAGTTTCGCTCACTCCTGTCCAACGAGGTGGCAAGAATGAAGTCAATGGGCTTGGAAAGCCGGCCAAAGGATGAAACAGACAAGACGCGCCTGAGACTTTACAACACCTACCGACACGCGCAGCGGCTTCTCATTGGGCTTGATTCGAATCAAATTCCTCAAGGTGTCGATAACCCTGCAGTTGCCAATACTGTTGAAGAGAAACCCGATTGGTAAGTACCCAAAGAAGACTGATTCCCCAAGTCGAGAATGGAATCTAAGAATTATCGCTGTCTTATGCAGCCCAAGTGCACGAGCCATCCGAGCCTTGCGACGAAGCGCAGCAGCAGAGCATCGAGAGAACCTTCAAAAGAATACTTTCACCACGAAAAAGTCGAAAAAAAGAAAAAGGACCAACGGAGATGACGACGCCTCCGCCTCCAGGAATGGCAGCCGTAAAAAGCAGAAGAAAAAGGTGGCTAAACAGCAGAGCAATGACGTGGTTGCCCGGCCTTCCCCGATCGGAAAGAAAGATGGCCGCGTTTCTGTCTTGGAGGAAAGTATTTGCACACTTTGGGGCATCAAGTTTAGCGATATCATCCCAGAAAGACGGTCCGTGGTACAAAGAGTGTTCAGCCCGCAGCACATCTTTAACTTCCCTCTTGTCCTCTACGACATCCAAAGCGAGACGCCTGAGGATCTCGGCAAAACCTTTCAGGCAGGCCAAGACTGGCGCTCTCAGGCAGAACTCTTTTGTCATGTGATTAAGTCACACGGCATTCACCGTAAAGCAGACTTCAACGTATTTTATGCTCGGATGGGCAAGCTCTATCTTTACCGTCTCTTAAAGGTGGGGGGTCACATTCCTTCAGTTCCTGATGTCGCCTCTAAGTCGCCCTATCCTTCAAAGACCATCCTGAGCTTCCTGAAGCAAGGAAGGAGGCTGAACATGATGTGTGGCGGCCACGTCGGCCTCATCTTTCTGCTACCTCTACTCCAAGATGACGGAGGCATTTCGGTACCACACATCCCGATTTTTAAGGAGCATGAATTGCAATTTCTCAATGATCTGGTTCGCAAGGCTCGTACTGTCCGCACCCTGTGTTCTTTGGGTCTTAACTTGATCAAGGCTGCCCGGAGCGGAGAACAGCCCCCGCCACAGGAATTGAGCGACCTTTCGCTTCAGCTCATGGATACCGATTGCCTGGACGTGGAGAAGATCCTGAATCTTCTCCAGCCATGGGCTTCGAGGCCATGCAAGTGTTCCTGATTGGAGTCTGAGATAAGACCTACCCATTGTTAGTATGCTATCTGTTGAACAGTTTTGAGGTCTTCTTGTTTGAAATTTTGGGCTTCCACATGGTTTATGTTCTGTTGATTCGCCTTTCCCGTCTGTAGTTTCTTCGCGACGAGGAGGCAGTGGGTAGAAAGGTCGGTGGCTTAGGGACACGCAAATGGCGATGAAGGCCGCGACCCTATGTTTGAAACGAAATTCATAGTAGCTGAGATTAAGTTAAGAAAGATTAATCCTTTTAATTCAATTGATAAAGCTGAAACTGAAAGTGAGAGGTTCGTTTAAAATGCGACTAAAGGGGCAACGCAATGTGTCTGACATGAGCCTGTCCTTTGAAATCACCAACTTCCGCTTGTAGGAAGTGATCAAGCACATAAAATCGGGGAAAAAGTCATGGATTTGGATCCAACTCTGAATTTTAATTTCAATGGGGGCTTGGTTATGCGCAAAGCACGAATTACGTATGATGGCATGGCCCTCTGTAGCTTAGCAAGAAGATCGTCGTCTGTTGGAATATGGATTACTTGGGAAGTTTCATGGATTCTATTGATTATATGCAAATATGGTATCTAACTATCTATGTGAAGGTTTAAATTCTCTGGCATATCCTTGAGTATCATGAATAAAGAAAAAATTAGCTAAAATGCTCAAAATCAGAAACATGTCCGTAATATTCCCAAGTCCATGTGTTCACACTGCGGCCGGAGTTGGGCTTGCCATGGGCGTAGCTGGCAAGTTAACTGGAAAATGCAGCGGCAGAGGTTGCCCCGGGAGAGCGTTGAAGTTCTGTTGGTCATTTGGCTTCAAGGGAGGCAAGGAGGAATGGCTAGTCTCCGTAGCTGTCTGGGAGATGTTGTTGGAACCCACAAGAGCCCCCGGGGGGAAATAGCTTGGGCCGGCGTTGTTTGCTGGAAACCCCGGTGGCGAGGTAGGCAAAGATTGAGGGGTTGGCGGTAATGCGAAGCTATTGGAAGGAATGCTGCTTTGCGGCTGGAACGTGTTTTGTCCATATATGGGACCGGACTGCAGTATGTACTGAGGCTGCTGGGTTTCAGTCGGTGGAGAAGAAAGGCTTTGCTGCGGGTAGGATGGAACAGGAACAACTGACGCCCTTCGAGAGGCATTTAGAGGTTTAGCGGTAACCGGGGTAGTAAGATGACGTTGCAATGAGCCTGGCTGAGCTGATGTAGAATTATGGAAGCCTGGCGGTTCCTGTACTTCGTTTGGAGGGGACTGGACTGCTCCGAGTGCTATGTGAGAACTTGGCTGAGGCGTTTGAGGGATCAAAGGTATACCGGATTTCCTGGCAGTCGGGGCATAATTTGATTGTGCTGCTGAACTCGTTGCTTCGTTTGCCTGAGCACTTGGAGATGGGAGTGATGGCTGTTCGATAGTATGTAACGAGTAACCTGTCAAGGTCCCTCGAGCAGGCTGATACGGAGTCTGTGGCTCCGTCTGGGGATTGGCCAAGGCTTGGCCGAAGACAGGCGTCATGGTAGGTTGAGATGTAGATGATGCTTCGGTAGCATAGAGTGAAGCACGAGCATCAGGAAAGGGCTTTGTCTGTGCTGAGTCTGCATGTCCCGGTGGTGGTGCTGCTGGTGGAGGATACATGAACTCATCAAGTGGTTGTTGTGTTTGCGAATCATTACCTTCCGCTGCTTTTACAATAGGAGGTAGTGAGGTGATGACAGAGGTACCGACTGATACTGGTGGCGAAGTAACGATGCTAGAACTGGAGGAATCTGCAATGACGACAGTTGGAGTGGCCGAAACTGGCGGCTGAGTCGGAGCTCCAACAGGCAGCTCTGAGAAATGTGAAGGTTGTACCGGTGCTTGTACAAATGCTCCTTGGTCTCCAAATGACGCCGAACGCGATGCATCATACCCCTGGTTAGATGGATGGCCCAAGGCGTGCGAAACAGGCACGGCTGCGCCCACGGTTGGGAGAGCTGACCCCATGGCATTCAAATCGTATATAGCAGCAACGGTCGGTGGAGGCATGCTTGGTGGCGCGAAATCTTCTGTTTCAGTTCCACCATACAACTCTTGACTCGGCTCTGATTGGTAGTACGGCGGCATGGGTGCCTTGGAATCAAGCCCATAGTAGGGATCGGGGTTCATGGTAGAGACTGCGTAGTTCTCTGGAATCCCAGCTTGAGATGAGCTCGAGGCATATGAATAGGGAGGAGGCGGAGCGTAGTAGGGGAGGCTGGCGCTGCTCTCCGCCGCGGCACCTTGAGGGTTGTAAGGCTGGATGGTATATCCAGCTTCGGCGGCCTTTGCTTCGTTGACGGCTTGGAATACCCCAGCTGCCTCGAAAGCCTTCCTTGCATCTCGCTTCCTTAGATGATTCGTGTGTGCATGCTCGATACCCAGGCCTACGCCGTCCAAGGCGACATGGGAAATAACCTTGATGGCTGTTTCGTTCTCGACAATGGCAGAGATGCCATGCTCTGCACCTTGAGCGGCGATAGCATCAGCTCCCAATGTGCCCACGCCGAGAGTGACAACACCGATTGTTCCACTGACAGCCACACCGCCCAGCACGTCTCGTTTCCTGGTCTGATGCGTTGTATTGTGCCTGTTAAGGTGTCTCTCGATGATGTCTCGCTTCCTCCGAGCGTTATGGATCGCAGGGGCGGCGAGGGCGACGCCGATTGTCGAGACACCTGCTGTGAGCGGGATAGCAAGCCCGGAGACAGTGGTAGATGTGGCAGCGCCGGTGATGAGTCGGGTGTAGTGCTGCCACTCACGTTGGAGCTCTTCTGCGGTGAGTGCAGCACATTTCTGGTCGTACTTTTTGAAGTCGAAGGGCATCGCTATGGTGGGCGTCGGGTGCCGACGTCGTGCTCAACCGAGCCCAAGGGCTGGAGTCGTTAGGGGAGAGGTAAGATCGCTGGATAATCAACAGCCCGGTGAAGGAGTTTGTATTTGATTCTATGAGGAAGATTGTCGTCACTCAATGATGTGGGAGAGATAAGAGGGATTCTTTTCCCCCGCGATCTTCTCGTGATGTGGGCAGCAAGGGGTCCGGGCCAGAACCACTTAGTATCTAATAACTCAGCGCCGTAGTCCGCCATCTTACTGCAGGCAGCAAATCTGCCTTACGCTCTTTTCATGTCTAACCATCTGCGGCTGAATCTGCGGCTGGGTCGAGATGCAGCAAAAGGGCGCTAAATGTCGCAGCACGGCACCAGCAGCCGAATCCCTCCTGACCCGATTGTGTCAACTTCTCTGCCAATATTGCAGGAAATCGGTCCCAGAAAGGTCGCAGGTACGACGTGAAAGAATAGTCTAGGCACCTTATTGTCTCAGTATCCTCATGGTACAGCCTGGGCACTGTCAATCCTGCAGTGTTCAGCGGCAGTCCTCCATCAGAGCGCATAAAAATAGCTGACCATGTGCATTGCGGGAGGGATCAAGGGTGTTCGAGACCCTCCATCAATTCTCTCAGACTAGCCGCTGCTAGTCAGTCAGCCCCATGCAATACTGTCAACGGCTGGAGATGCTTGCCGCCCAATTTGATTGGCCTTGTTTGTGAGATTGCGGCCAAAGTGGATAATGCCGTCTCCAGCCTGTCAGCCCAATGTGCCCGTCACGGTCAGTTGCTTACCAATTACCCTACTTATTCCTCCGCTGTCGGTCGTGCATACTTGTGGTGCTTTTTGTGAGGTCACGGCGTCTTACAGTGCCCCTGACATAAATGTGTGATCATCGAATGAGCACTTGAGACAGCGCTGACGCAAACCCAAATATCAGCAATACAACCCCGCCTAAATTAATTCACAGATGAGCTGGTAAAAGTCCATATTACAGTTGAAGGTAAAATAACGGGCAGTCAGAATAAGGCCACAAAAAACGCTTAAGATCTATAGCCCTTCTAGGGAAGCCATTCAGAATTTAGAACATAACTGTATAGGTAAGCTACCAGTAGACTCTCAGATAGACCATTCAAGGAACCATCTATATTATTTCCAATCGGGTTATTTCTATACAAAATACTCTGGAAATTCAGCCACCGAACTGGCTTTACATAGGTTGAGAGTTACCTTTCTTTCGTTATTGGATTAGTGAAGGATAAAAATCTCAACTTTGTCAGCCCGCTCATGCTTTACACAGCCGTATTCAAATTTCCAGGGGAAAAAGGAATTCTTTTCCCCAGGCGGTAGGAAGGCCTCATGAATTCTCTTCTTACAATACTGACTTTATTCATTTCTATCGAAGAGATTGGGATAAACTAGCCCGAAAGACTTATCTTTTTAATAGATAAACTTAACCTTTAGTTTATCCCCTTTCACAATCTCATCTTCTTTTAGAGTAAGCTCCGGTAGGTCCCAAGTCACATTAACATAACGCCCACTAAGCCAGGGCCTCCGTTCCGCAGTCAGATAGACGACCGAATCTCCCGCAAGCTCTGTCGTCTCGGTGAGTCCTATTGTTGTATTTTATCAGCCTCTGAAGTAATTAGTTTAGATGTTTCTTTCTACACACCGGTTTTGACAAGTTCAGGTAGCTTTGAGAAGTCTCCAACGATATCGGTGGGACTATTTCCAGGATGGATACTTATCGTCACGAGTCCCTGGCCAGAGTATTCCGCATCGATAAATTCAGAGAAACGAACCAGAGCTAATTTAGAGGTCTGGTAGGCGCTGCCAGTGGGTGTTGTGAGATGCGCACCCACGCTGCTTACGTTTATGATGGTCTTCTTCTCGCTCTCAAGCACGAGGGGAATGAATGCGCGGGAGACAAGATACGGGCCGCGAACATTGATATCGAAGATGCTCCACCAGTGGGATGGGTCTGACTCGGCGATCAATGTGGACTTGCCGAGGACGCCGGCGTTGTTGACCAAGACATCGCATCTACCAAACTCTGCCCTGACGGAATCTGCGGCAGCCTGGACACTGTCTTCGTTGGTCACGTCCAACTTGATGGCTAAAAACTTGGGCTGGGGCCGGTTCGCTGCCGCTGCTGCAGCGGCAACATCTTTTGCCAGCTGGGACATATCGGACCGTGCACCAGCTGCGATGTAGGATGCCCCTGCCTTGGCAAACGACAACACCATGGCTCGGCCGAGGCCTTTGGATCCCCCGGTAATGAAAACGGCAGTGCCTTTGTGGTTTACATTTCTTGGATCGATTCCTGGATAAGTATCCGAGTGAACCATGGAAGTTACATCATAGTCTCCTATATCTAGTCAGTGTTCTCGAGGACTCCTTATTCCATTGCGTTTGTGCGGTATATACCTGGTCCTTCCAAGATATTCGGAGTGCCTCGAGCGGGAGGCATGGCTTGTATCTACGATTTTACTTGATATTCTCAGATGCTGGCGAGGAAATAAAAGGGCTTCAACTGGAGCCAATAAGCATATATGAACAACAATAGTTTTATGACAATGTATATCGACTGAGTGCATTTATAGTTTCAAAAATCTCGGTAGAAATATCTTGCCCGAAAGATGGACAAAATATACGGAGATAGGTGGGTGGACATACGACTCCTGATCTCTTAAATCCAACGTCCGACACAAGGTGCATTGGTACGACATAGCCTTACCGCTCTTGTAGATTGTCCTAGATGCCTACGGAGTTACGGACTTTGTAGGTAGTCCGAGGCTCAGCGTTTGTGTAGGATCCTTGTCGAAGGTCGTATCACAAGCTGCGCGTATATCACTCGATAAGTTGTTTGTTAAAAACAAAAATGAATCAGTGCTTTTCAAGTCTTTCCTCCGGGGTTGTTTTAAGAAAAAAATTAAAATTTCAAAGTATTGTAGTATATTTATATGCCCTCTGCTAAATTGCCGCCCATTCGCGAACATCTACCCGGCATTTTGGCTTCCATAGCCAAACTAGGTAATCGCAAGCCTCGATTACCTACATTTTGAGACAAGCTCATCAAGGCATGGCATCTCAAGTCATGATATAGTACACAAAATATAGCCAAAGAGATTCATGACGCTGGAATTAAGCAAGTCGACTATGCGTTCTTCTACGCCTTTATGCCCATGGCTGCAAGTGATAAATGAACTCCCTTCAAGGGTCGTTGGTTCCCGTTTCGAGAGGAGCAGGAAAGACTCGACTAATCTGGTGACTAGGAGGCTGAGGAGTTGGTTGATATCAACGGGAAAAGTTTAAACAATTTCTTAGAAGGACTCTATTTCGCAGGATTGCGACCAAAACGTATTCTCCTCCAAACAGGATGCAAAATTTATGGCTAGCATTATGGCAAAAAAAATGAATTTGCTTATAGAGGATGCTGTTTAGACTACTTGAACTTATAAAAAGCCTAATTTCTACTATAGCCAAGAGGTGATGATAAAAGAACGGATTTTCTTTATCTTGTCCACAACAAAACAGAGTCCTCCTCCCCGAGAGTGGATCAATTCCACCAAAAAGAAACCTTTCACTGCGAGTCTATGACTTCCTGCGAAGGGGGTTGCGCCGCCGTAGTTGCAAGGGTCTCCGATTGTTTGGCCCAGACTTTGGCAATGGCTGGACGCGACATCAACCTTTCAAGCCACGCTTCGTAGTTTTTGAATTCGCTCGTGCTGACTTCAGGAGCAATCACAACGAGCCCTTTGAAGTACGGGATGAACATGATGTCCGCATAAGTCACTTTATTTCCTGTCAGATAGTCCGTCCCCTGTCTTGCGAGGTGAGAGTCGACCACCCCAAGGACCCGCTTGATCTCTTTGCGGTATCTCTCTATCGCAGATGGCAGCTTCTCAGCGTGGTATCGCTCAAACCAGGCTTTCTGTCCAAAGTATGGACCCTGTCCACTCATTTGGAAGTGCTCCCAGGCCCAGGTTGCGTACTTCTCAGGCCCGCTTGGGTGGTGTAGCTTGAATTCTTTATCGTAGACATCAATCAGATAGTCGATGATAGCCCCGGACTAGAGAACAAGAGTCAGTATTAAAAGACTACCTCACAGTTTGGGTGGGATATTGCATTTACCTCCCAAAGCACCATATCTTGATTATTGGGGTCCTTTAGAACAGGAACCCGTCCGTTCGGATTAAGTACAAGGAAAGGCTCCTTTTTCACGTCCAAGTACTCGACTTGTTCCATATTGTACGGGAGGCCGAGCTCCTCGAGGATGTATGCAACCTTCCAGGGATTAGCCCCGGCGCGAATGGCGTAGAGAGTAAGTGGCTGGAGCGTGGTCATGGTAGCTGTTCTTGATGTAAACTATCAGATGTGTTTGAGTTTCTGGATTGTAATTCTTTATTCCATGACCATTTTCCTTCTTTCTTATATTTTTGCGTTTTCAAGATGACTTATAGCAGACTCACTTGATTACATCACCATACATGGAGACTTGAGCGCCGAGTCGGACCAAAACTCGGACCAAGCTTTGACCAATCTTAGCCGGTTGCCCCTATAAAAGGTGCCCCATGAAAGTCCGCAACGGACCTGAAGGTCGGACCAGCTGACACATTTGAACATAACCACAAAACAGCTCATGTCCGAATAACTCACCTCGAGACACTTCCAATAGTACAATAGATCCGGACATCAAACGTGAAACCACATCATGGAACCCAGTCGATGTGACAGCAAGAACTCTTCGGCACCAGCGGTCAGCCCGTGGAGCTGTTTCAATTGCCGCCGCCGCAAGTATCGGTGCAACAGATGCCGCCCTTGTGCGCACTGTACCAAGTCCGGCCTCCAATGCACGTATCCAGTCTCCGGCCGCATGCCAACAAGGCAGCACGGGCTTCCAGGCGTTGCAGCTGCGCCATCTCTGGAGGGCAGAAAAGAGTTGCTTGCTCGGCTGCGGCACCTGGAACAGTTTGTAGAGGAGGCCAGTACCCAACGAGACGCACAACGAAGGCCAGACAATCCTATCCAGTCATGTTCCTGTACATGTCATGGTAGCCATCAAGAAGCGACCGGTGATCCTATAGAGGAGAAGGTTTTTGGTGATTTTGGAAAGCTCTATATTAACAAGACGGGATGTATCTACGTGGGAAACGAGTTTTGGGCTTTACTCAACCACCAGGTGCGCGTATTCGAGGGAACGACAAACCAACTGATGCTGATTCGGAATACAGATAAAAAACATGAGAGATGTTCTCGACAGCGAAAATATACAAGACACGATGTATCTCGACCACACAAGCCGCACGCCATTCTTCTCTGGCATGCAGACGGGAGGCAGTGACACGGTCCGCCAACCTCTGCCTTCTCAAGTGCCATATCTGTGGCAGGTTTACGTAGACAACGTGGATCCGTTCATCAAGATCTTGCATGTTCCCAGCATGGGAAAAATCATCAAGCAGGCAAAGGGGAAGTTTGATTCTCTATCTGAGGGCCTTCGTGCCCTGATGTACGCCATATCTCTCGCCGCCATCACTTCTCTGGATGAGATTGAAGTAAGAAAATAGCCCCGGTAGATGGTTGCTTGATGCTAATATGTCAAAGGTGCAAGAAAATTTCGACGAAAGCAAAGAGTCTATGACGGCTTGGTTATTAAGCAATACCGAAAGAGCTTTGTCAGATGCAGGCGTCCTAGAAACGACAGACATCCATGTCATACAAGCTTTCTTTATCTACCTTGAGATGGCCATGCAATATTACGGTTCTCGGTCTATTTGGACTATGACAGGCGTTTTGATCAGAACCTCGATGTCTCTCGGTCTTCATCGCGATGGCTCCAACTTTGCTAACATATCGCATTTTGAAGCCGAGATGCGGCGGCGCCTATGGTGGCACATTTGCTTCCTGGATCACCGTGTAGGCGAATGTGACGTGCCTCAATTGGCACTCGGCCCCAAAATGTTCGATACCCGGGAGCCCTGCAACATCAACGACGAAGATATTAGCCCGGACATGACGGGAGCCCCGGTCCCGAGAGAGGGCTTCACTGAGACGAGCTATGCACTCGCCTTGTGTGATTTATGGCGTCTAGGCCGAAAGATACACGGCCTGGTGTTCTTACTTATGAATCCTGGAGAGAAGCGAGACAGATTGCAAAAGGACGCCTTGGAGGCAACAGAGAAGTTAAGACGCCAGATCCTCCAGCAGACATTTCGAACTTCAAGGCCCGAAACAGACCTTCTAGCTTTCATGAAGTACCGAGTGAATGCCTTGGTTGACCAGATGGCCCTCATCATTCGCCACGTGCACCTGTTTCATTTATCAAGTCTCGCGGAGGCTGAACCATTCAGACAACAGTCATATGAAGTTTCAATCAAGTGCATTGAGGATTTCAACAAGTGGAGGCTTCACCCTTCCACATGTCAGTGGAGTTGGCACCTCTTCAATCACAACTATTGGCACGCTGTCTGCATCGTCTTTGCCCAGTTACGCCTCGATAAAGCTTGGGATTCCACTTCGGAAAATGCGTGGAATGCAGCGATGAAACTGATGCAAGATACTCCGGCGCCCATGATGCTGAAGAACCCGTTGAGGCAATCTGTCTGTCTCTTAGTCCAGGAAGCATGGAAACGAAGAGAAAATGCGGTTTCCAAGGGAAAACCCACCACATCTAACGGTGAACCGCCGAACTTTTCAGTTGCTGCTGGCACGATGGCTCTTCCGTTGAATATAAACGAGAGATTCAACCCCGACGATGTTACATGGGCATGGATATCCAACGAATACCCCCATCCGGCACCATTTGACGCGCCCTCGTGGGTAACAAACCCCGCTGACACCAGCCAGAGCTTTCCAGGCGGACCAAATAATCACGAAGAGCAGTCTATATGGCCTGACTCTGATTCGTTTGATATATTTCAGGAGCTTGAGCCGTTTAGTTGGACTGATGAACAGGTCTCCGGAGTCTGGCCCAGCGACTCGATTTGAAAACGCCGGAGAATGGAATATTTCACTTCTAGTAAATGACGCTTAGTTCTGAATCAAAGAGTTCTTTTCGGACATCCCTGTGATCAATCCTGACGTTGGCCGCATCTTGTCTCCGCAGGACCTCCTCAAGCAGAAGCACACCTTTATCAAAGTTGGGAAGACAACAGATCTTTCGCACCATACCCAGAAACTGATCGCGATCATGAGGGGGACATTCGAGACAAAGCATGAATAATGGCCAAAACATGGAGTGCGGCAAATGGATTTCGTCATGGCTGAGAGGCGACGGAGAGTTTTGGCAGTGAGCCTCGCAATCAACATCTTGTTCTTGGTGAAGATCCGCGGAAAGAGCCTTTGCTAGCTCGCTGATCTCAGACACGGCGCGTGTTACATCATCCGTGACTGGGTAGGCCACGAAAGCCACGCGATGAAGGTATATGTAGTGTGCCCAGAAGTTTGCGCTGTAGACGCGGAGGTTGCGCAACACTACCTTTCCGTAGGATGGCTGAAGAATATCTGATATTCCTTTGGGGTCCTCGAGCAATAGGAATATGGCTGGTCTCTCTTCCCAGAGTGAATGAAGACTGGCGTTTATAGAGATCCCTCGTTTTAGGATTTCGAAGTCGGTCTCCAGCGTGCCTCTTTTATGGTGATGTTTGTCTAGAGCAATGATCCGTGGAGTAAAGCTCTGTGCTCGAAGGTGAAACTCAAGAGCTGGCTGATTGATAATTTCACCAAGAAGCTCAGCTGGAGAAGGTGATTCAACAACCGTTCCCCAGACACCGTTTCCATGGTTAGATCTTCCCCAAACACCCCCATCCTTTATTTGATCCGCGTTTTCATCCGTTTGCCGTTCGTGAGTGGAAGAGCTGCTGCTGTGTTCGAAAGTCTCATCGTCCCTACGATTCGCACATGGGCTGCCGCCGTTGTATTCAGCTTTGTTTTGTAGCAAGGTCATCCAAGTGAGTAAGCGTCGACTTGTCCCTGCCCAACCCTGGATGCTTTCGCTGTGCTGTCGGACCCGCGTATGAGCCGCATGGACATGCTGTAGTGGCCATGTCAAGGCCTTGGGTGTTGATTGCGCTATAAGCTCGACGTGGCTGAGGAGAAAGACGGCGGCAAAGGCCGTCTTTAACTCCGGATTTTTGATTGGTTGATCCGTTGTATTTTGATGAGTTTCCTCGAAAAAGACAGTCACCTGACTGCTTGAAGATTGATAATGACTATAAGCAACATCTAGCATCTCGTTGCCCTTCCTGCATGTATAGAGATGGAGAGCGGAATGGGCACATATTGCATCAAGTAGAGCTGGAGAATTTTGTGCCATAGAAAGAAGGGTACGTGAAGCGGTTGTCCACTCAATGTGTGTTGGTACAATGACGGCTATTGGATTGGATGCCTGTGTAAAATGCTCTAGAAGAGCTGAAGTCGTTTGCTCAAGTGAGCTATTTGTTTCAGTCGGTATCGTCCACGTCAGATTATCGGATGTTTGTGCCTGTGGTAAGCCAGGGCAGCTGCCTAAGTTCATCTCTGTCGAATTTATCGAAGACAGAAAAATATCTTGAAAGGCCAGGGTTTCCGGGAAACTAGATACGCTTGCTTCTTGCATATCTGGCAATCCAGGAACCTGCCGTGAGAAGTATAGCTCTCCGGATAAGTCATGACGGGGTTCTTGTGATTCGTGTAATGGTGTTAACGCAGATTGATAGGTTGAAGACAGACCCTCTTCGTTTAGGAAACCAGGAGGTGCGAAAGTCGGATTATCGATTATCGACACATAATTCAAGACATCATCGGCACTGCCGCCATCACCAGCAATCTCGCAGGAGGAGCTACTGACTTGTTGTGATCTTGTCTTTGGAATGGGGTGTCTTAGCCTGGCACTCTCTCGTGAACTGCTCCCAGACCGGGAGTGAGCATCAACGAACCCGCATGAGATCTTGAGGCGTGTGCAATTCGCGCAGGTCGGCCGCCCTTCATCACACCTAACCTTCCGCCGACGACAGGTGCTGCAGCCTGTTCTGGTCTTGGGACCGGATCGGCCGGTAGCCTTGGAGTAGATCGGCGTTGACATTTTTGTCGTAATTACTGGGACCTGGGTGGGATCTCTGCGTGCAGCTGTCACCCTTGGCCTCCTTTCTTTCTTTAAACAGGCCAATGCCAATAGCAACTGTCACACGAGGACTGCGGCGTCGAGGCGCCACAGAGTCTCTTCAAGCCTCGCTAGCGGAATGTCAAAAGTTTCTGCTGGAAACTACAACGTTGCCAGTGGTTTGTTTAATGCGGGGTATTGCGTGTGTCCGGGGTCTGTTGACGCCATCCAGAGATCGACGTCCCCCAATGCGTCGTGCCAAGGAAATGATTATCCATCGCGAACTGCCACGAAGATATCCATTGAGAATGCGCCTGATGAAACTCGTCTTAAGCATTTAAGCTTATTTTTCATCTCTTGTCTCTCATGATAGGAAGCATTCTGGTTTTCACATGTAAGACACCCCCTGTAGTACATACCACGATCGCGACGTAGGATACAGAAGTTGGGTTTATATCGGCTTCCAACAGCATGGTTTGTCTCATCCGTCTACAGATTCCAACTCGCTCCATCTGTCACGTAGATCTTTCATAAGGCGATGGATGAGAGATGAGAGTCATGGTGGGGTCGGACATTTGAAGGAGATAAACCGGGGTTCGTTGAAGAGCTATTATTATCATTTACTAGGGAGAAGTAAATCTCCGGTAAGTTCGATTTGTCAGCATTTAAACAACTGTGGACAAGAACCTGATCTTGATCTTTGTACTGAATGCTGTCAAGATTGGATACGTCGGATCTTCTTATCTCGTTTTCGCTCTCTCCAGAATGCCCGGGATTTCACGTCAGAAAGCCTGTATGGCGTGTGCAGACTCCAAGCGCAGGTGTGACAAGCAGCTTCCTGAATGCCAACGGTGCCTCGACAAAGGCATATCCTGTGTCTATCCACAATCGAAGAGAAGACCACTTACACATGACCGCCGTAATGAGCTTCGGGTAGACTATGAACATATGCTTGAACAGTATGACCCGATTCTTTACGACCCGGACTTTGGAGGATTGTCAACGGTGATGGCAGCCGGCAACGGCAATCAGTTTTCAGACTTTATCCCAACACTTGCTCCGATGTTCCCCTCGCCCGAAAGTGATCTGGTGGACCAAGCGATCATCGCTGCAAACGACGACATCTCGAGCATACAGACTCCTTGGTTTTTGCAGGATGAAACATGGCAGATGCAGCACTGCGACGAAAGAGCAGCATGCGTCACCTACATTGAGCTTGAGCCTCTCCTCCGTGCAGTAGAAAGAATGCTGGAGGACTGGATTAAGGATGGGCACAACAGCTTCATTCATCGGCGGCTATACAAACTAGGAATGCCTACCTACCTTCAAGACGCTTTCACAACCCTGGCTACATATATCAGTCGTGCGCCAGCAGTAAAAGATTTGATTATTCAAATTGCTATGGATCGATTGTCTACGTTTATCAATCAGCGTCCGTCTATTGTCGGCCAGGGCGCAAAGAGTCTACAGGCGCACCTGGCACGCGTCCAGACTTTGTTCATCTATGAATTCATTCTGCTCTTCGATGGCTCCGTTGGTGCCCGAGCCTGTGGTCAGAGACAACTCCCAATACTTCGACAGTGGGTCACTCTGATGCAGGAGGCCGTACGATTATACCGAGGAGAAAATGGGCTGCTGGATCAAGGCTCATCCAATGTGGCCGACACTGAGTTTGACAGAAAGTACAATGCGTCCACAGAATTATGGCATCAGTGGATTCTTACCGAGAGCATTCGGCGCACCCAAGTGATCGTAAATACTATCTGCAACATCTACGAGATGATGGTACTTGGTTCGGCGGAGTGTACAGGGGGTATCATGTTTACTGCGCGTCGCGGTTTATGGGAGGCCGAGTCGGCGTTTCAATGGCTGGAGCTGTCCCGTTCCAAGCTCCCGCTTATTGTGCCTTCTCTGCGTCCCAGCTCGTTGATGTCACAGTATAATGCTGATGAGGTGGATGATTTTGTCAAACTATATTGGACGTTTCTTGTTGGTAACGACAGGCTTCAATGCTGGATTGATAGGGACAAAGTGAACATTTCCTAGCTTACACTTTAGACTTCCAGAATCAGAGCGAATGACTGGCGATCAAACAATACACGGTGCAGTTGACAAAGTTCGGCAAGCTTGAGAGGGTCTGTATTGACGCAATTAGTAAGACGAGCATGTGGGCACGATGTAATAGTACACACTCCAAGAAGTCATTCAATCCTAAGAAATGAGATTGTCTCACAGGCAGCGAGTAAATCCACAGATCGTCGCATGTTCCGACTTATTCAAATCACCCAAGCTTTTAATTGGAGGAGGCAAGTGGGTTGAAAAAGGATGAAACACTAAACCACCACTGCAGTACAATCTTACCCTTCCGCCAAGTACTTACATGAGATTTACCAACCAACCAGGGAATTGGCTAAACTCAAAAAAAGAGATACAAAACCCCTTAATGCTGGAAACTTCCACCAGGACTTTTTTATTATAAAAAAAATATTCATTTCTGTATCTGGTGGTCTCCTTTTTTCAGCCCACTTAAGAGGTACACCACTACACCTAATCGAACATCTACGCATATACAATGCCCAAAGCTAAGCGCCCGATACCTACCTAGTCCCTGTTTACATCAACGAATGAGAAGCAATCCGATTCTCGCTGTTGTTAGGTCGTATTAGCTAGAGATGAAAGCCGAGGACGGAGCGCAGTGAGACAACAATTCACACCCCGCACCTTTGCCCCCTCCCAGTGCTGTTGACTGGCCCCCTAGTCATTCTCTTGCAGGAATTTGAGTTCGATATCAGGCCATCATAGTGAGACTATCATTGCACACCGCCTGATTCCCGCACGGCCTAATTAGAGTTGCTGGTGAAAATGATTATGATTATTTATCTGAGAGTCACACTACCGGAACGGGGCAGAACGGGAACGTCGTAATATCGTATTTCAGCCAAGGTGGTCGGCTTACCAGGATAAGCTGAAAAGGGGCCTCCTTAAAATGAGGGACTTTATTTATCGAGTTCTGACATACTAATCTGGAGGGCGCTTTGTGTTTGCCCGAACCCTCCCCACAACGCGGCCAATTTGGCATGTCTATATATGAGAAAAGCTTGTGTAAATTTGCTCTTAGGTAGCATTTCACCAGGAACATCGATCTTCCATTCTATGGATTTTTACCTTCAAACTTCCCCTCTGGTGTGAAGCAATAGCAATCTTGGTTTGGCTGTGGTTGTCCAAAACAGCACATCGTATCATATTTTTACCGACCATTACTCCCGGGATATCTCTTCTCAGGTTCTTTTCTTTTCTGGTTCTTTCTTTTCTTTTCAGCATCCTTGCATATGTAATATCTCTCGGGATCTTTCGTATCCGAACCTAAGACATTCTGTCATAGCAAGGTAATGATGCAGCAAGATCGATTCAGCCATGGTTTTTAGGATGGATCAGAGAAAGTGAGGCGAGCAGCCGTACTCAAAGAACCTTGTTCAATGTGCGACACACGCATGCACCTTGCGCTAGATATCGCTAGTATCATGCACGGTGAGATGCGATCGTCAATAGCCATACTATTGTTCTTGGGCGGCAACTCAGCCGTATCTCTGGCCCAAGGAACTAGCCCCGTGTGCCGCATCTTGGCAGAACTGACGCCAGGATGCGATTGGTCTTGCTTGAATCCCCCCCTCCTTTACTTGTCGACTAGCTTCAGAGCTGAGGCAATGTCTCGGAGCATGTCTGAAGCCCGCAACTGATTGGGTAGCAGCACCACCTCTCTAGCAATGCAGATGATTGATCACCAATTCTGGCGTCAAGCGCAGCCCGTTTGCACGCTGGCTAATGCAAGCCGTCGGAGGTTGGGCCAATAGCACAACAGATAACTAGGGTATCGCCGCAAACCGCTTGCGACGCAGCAGCATAGTAACATGTTCAGAGCTGGTTGATGGGAGTATCCTCGGTTAAGAGATACTCGATGGCTCACACACTTTTGCCGTAGTTGGAGGTATTGCTTGTTAACAGAGACAAGGGACTACTCGAGGCTCAGCACAGTACATATCCATCCTAATTACGACTCCTGGGCAAACCTTTGGGTGCCCAAAGGTATCATCCAAGAGTCCTAAATAACTGGGGACTCGAGAGCTGAACCAGTGGTGTCTTAGAAGCCTCAGGAGGCGCCTTCGCCTGCAGCAGAGCATTGCGCATGAGACATGATGGCTGACGAACCTGGATGACGAAGGGAAGCGCCCATTTCCTAGCACCACGCATTGAAAGGCCTTCTTCCCCGCTTTGCTTTCAGGCCGCACGATAAATTCCGTAGCACCTCCCGCTCGATCCCAGTCCACATCGGCCCAATCCGCCCCTTTACGAGCCACCCTTATTGTTTGAGTGGCATACATACACTGCCGTTGCCAGAGCCAGTCAAGAATACAACATGAGTCAACCAAATACCCCGCTACCCACCTTTATCGATCGCTCTACTCCCAGCCCAACTCGCGGTACTGGAAGCCAATTCGCCCTCACACCAACCAAACAGAGGCTCCCCGAACCTATGATAGACTTGCCATCTCAGGGAGGCATCATGGGTAGCAACCACGACTGTTTAGACCGCGATCTATTCTCCAACAATGAAGTCGATGAAGATTCGCTTCTTTTGAGGGGCGGCAACCTCCCTGACGGAGCAGAGGCCCAGTTTCGGCCATACGGAATAGTGACAGTCAGGCCTGCTACCTTGGATGGCAATCACTTGCGAGGTGGTAGCATTGCCGTCGTGGGGCCTCAGACCTCCAAGGACCTTAATTCGACTCTAACAAACAGGGTCCAGATGGCTAAGGTGAAGGCAAAGCTGCCCGACCAGGATTGTTAGAGACTGGGCACCAGGATCACTTCCAGCACGCCCGCTAAATGTCCTGATGACGGAAGGATAAGCTAGATCTCAATGTTTTGTGAGGTATTCAAGATATATTCATCCACCCTGAACTACATTCCTCGTTGGTCTACCGTGATAGAAATTCCTTTGTATAGTACTTACAGATAATGTCGTGGATATTGTCACATGCTAAGTCTCACCCATAAGTTGAGAGACTCACAGGTGTATCTTGTGATTCTAGATACAGCCCCTGCTATTCTGAAGGAACTGTCTAGATTGCCTTCCTAGAAAACCTCGGTATTTGTTTCGTAAACTTCGACGGATCATCACGTGCCCCTTCTTTCCAATATTCATATTCAATCCACGCATTCTCGGGCATTTGCTCTTCCATCGCCGCCATCCAATTGCCCAGCTCTGGGCTGAGAGGAATCACCCCCGTCTCAAGTACGTAGCGGTCCCAGAGTTTTATCAGCGCGGCAAGTCTGTCGGGCTCTTGCTCTGAAAGGTCATGCACCTCGCCAGGATCCTTGGAAAGGTTGTAGAGCTGCCAGCGCTCTGGGCCTTTAGGCTTGGGGATGTAGACGATCTTCCAATCACCATTACGCACCGCAGCACGGCCGCATGTCTCCCACCCATTAATGAAGTCCGCTTCATGAATTCGAGGCTCCGTCCCCTTCAAGTACGGAAGCATTGACTTTCCACGCATGCTGACAACCTCGCGGCCCCGATAGCTTGGAGCAGGATGTGAAACGCCAGCCATGTCCAAAATGGTCGGTGCCAGATCCATGACCGTTGCAAATTGGTCCGAGATGGGTCGGCCGTCAGTATGAGGGCCGCGGAAGTTCTTGGGGGCTTTCACAATGCAGGGGACTCGTACGCCACCTTCTGTTGTATAGGCCTTGTAGAGTCTACTCGGCGCAGTGGCGGCCTGAGCCCAGCGAGGACCATACCAGACAAAAGAGTTGCCATTTCCTATGTTATCCAAGCTATTATTGTAGTATTTTTTGAGGTGTTGCATCATGGAGCCCTGGACCATGGGGTAGGCCTCGTACGCAGCGCCTTCAGCGCCATTATCAGACAGGAAAACAACAAAGGTGTTGTCTAGTTCATCAGTCTCCTCCAGATAGTTGAGTACTTTCCCAACATTGGCGTCGATGCACTCTACCATGCCAGCAAAGACCTCCATGGTACGGCAAGAATGTGCCTTTTCTTCTTCGCTAAATTCGGTCCATTCTTTGACCTCCTCTGCGACAACGGGGTGAGGCTCAACGTCCTGTGGAATCATGCCTAGGTCCTTGAGGCTCTGAAGTCGCGTGTGTCGAAGCTCATCTGGGCCTTTATCATACACACCGCGATACTTCTTGATGTATTCTTGCGGTGCTTGTAGCGGCCAATGCGGCGCTGTGAATGCGAGATATCCAAAGAACGGACGGTCGTCATCTGCTTCCTTGCGCTCTTTGAGATATTGGACCATTTTGTCTCCGTAGCCGTCCGAAGAGTACCATCCCTCAGGGAGCTTGGTGTATTCCCCATCCTCACTATGAAGAGCAATAACGCTCATCGTAAGAAACTCAGGTGATTTCTCTCCAGATTCCAACTGCGGCTCATAAGCATAGTGGTTGCTGCAGGCAGGCAGGTGAGCAAAGCTTCGCTCAAAGCCGCGGGCCTTGGGGCTTCTCTCTGGCGTCAGACCCAAATGCCATTTACCGGCCATCAATGTCTGATATCCGGCATCATGAAGAATTTCGGGCAAGGCTACCACGCGCTCGTTGAGATAACCCTCGTATCCGGGCATGCCTCTTTGAACATTGGTAGACATCTTGCCCGTGGGATCATTTTGGCCAGATATATTTGTCCACTCAATGAGGTTGCCCAAGCCAGCAATGTGGTGGTCTGTGCCAGTCATGATCATGGCTCTAGACGGCGAGCACGCCGCAGCGGCATGGAAATCCGTGAATCGAACTCCATCCTCTGACAATTTATCTAGATATGGCGTGGATATCTCACCACCGAACGGCGCAATATCGGAGAACCCTAGGTCATCCGCGACGATGACAAGGAAGTTGGGACGCTTAGTAGTCGTTGCCATGGCTGCTCAGAAACTTCAATTTGCTTCGGTACATGGCCTCAAACTATTCATTGCAGGGAGTTAGCCCAGGGGGCAAGGCTTTATGTGCTACTAGGTTTATACCACGCATGCAAACGCAGCCAACTACCAACTCTTCGTAACATCCCCTTTGGAATGGAATCCATTACATGGTAATACTTGCCGACATGCGAGATTGTAGACAAATCACAGATCTCCTGTCGTCAGCCCCCACAATATGGCATGGGCCTCTCTCGCGTATCGGACCTCGGACCCCGCTCATCGGCTTCATCATATTCTAGCCTGCCGCATCGATATTGGAAATGCTGAGTACTAACACGGACCAGGGCCTCGCATATGACGGCAGGGTTTATCCTCAACGATACTACGAAGCTGGCGAGTGCTGCTATCACAATGAAGGCTGACATGATGTAACAAGCACTGAAGTTTGCCAAAACCCGAACTTTGGGAGACAGCAAATAGATACTCGCTCTGAGGATAGTTAGTGATCTCATGATCGACGTGTTTGTTAAAATTCCAATGACTATGTATTAAAATCCAGTGTGATAGCTATACCTTTTCTTCTCTGACTGTCTGCATCCCGGATCTTGTCGTCGTTCCCCGGACGTTGCGCCACACCCTCCCTGATTGTCGCCATCAAGTGGACCCAATCTTATTCTGGGGGTGCATGATGACTTGAAGTTGTATAAAGTTCATCAGATTCATTCAAATCGGGTTATGATTAGGCTATGCTGAGCTACAGCTTGATTTGCTTGACCGAGATTCACCTCCGAAATCTGATCGATTGCGTTCGCTCAACCCCACTAAGATGACCAAACTGGGCACATTCAGAGCCGTGTACCTAGTCGCTTTATGCTGCGTGGGCTCGTTCTGCTTTGCTTATGATACTGGCATCATAGGCGGGATCCTTACGTTCAAGAGTTTCCAGCATGACTTTGGTTATACCGAGGCGCAGCGGGCATCTGTAGGGTCCAACTCGACGAGCCTCCTACAAGCGGGTGGTATGGACAAGGTTTAAAAGCTATCATCCATTTCGAACAGGACTAACCTTTGTCTTCTTACGCAGCTTTCTTCTCGTGTTTCTTTATTTGGCCTTTCACCGCCAAGTATGGCCGAAGATGGTCCCTTATCCTCGCTTCTGTCATCTTCAACATCGGTGCGGTTATTCAAACTATTAACACACACTCACTCGCCGCTTTTTACGTCGCTCGAATCATCAGTGGTGTTGGCGTGGGCATGGCAACGGTTATCATCCCTATGTACTCAGCTGAAATGGCACCCAAGAACATCCGAGGTATGCTTGGGAGCATGTTCCAGTTCTTCTTCACTCTTGGTGTTATGACCTCCTACTGGATAGACTACGCCGTCAAGAAGCATATCTCAGACGTGACTGCTCAGTGGCAGATTCCTGTGGGTCTTCAAATCGTACCTGGTTCTATTTTGGGCATCGGGATGCTTCTTACTAAGGAGAGCACTCGCTGGCTGGCCCAGAATGGCCGGCATGAAGAGGCGTTGGCGTCCCTCTCATGGGTTCGGGGCGGTGAATCTGAAGAGGTGAAGAAAGAGTAAGTCGAGATATATTAGCACATAACGATACAACATCGAAACATAACGCTTACTATGACGTTCGCAGGTTTGAAGAGATCTTATCAGGAATCAAAGAGGAAGATCGAGACAAAGAAGGTGTGAATTGGAGGGAACTAATTCTCCCAATCAACCGCATGCGCGTCTTTCTCATCGTTGCTCTCCAAATTGGTACGTCTATCCACAGAAGGTGTCAGACACATTTTCGTTGTATGAAGATCTAATTGATTTGGACAGGCGTTCAGTTAACGGGAAATACATCAATGGCCTACTGTGAGAATAGCTGAACCCAGAAAGAATTAACTATGCAGACTCTTCTAACGAATTTCCAGACGCCCCCCAAATATTCTCTCTTGTCGGAGCGGGTCAAGATAACCTTCTCATCACCGGGTTCTTTGGAGTCGTTAAAGTAATTTCCTGCCTCTTTTTCCTTCTGTTCTTGATCGAGCGGATAGGGCGCCGCGGTTCTCTACTTGCTGGAGCTTTGCTTATGGGATCATACATGGTTATCGTTGCTATCCTCACCGTCAAATTCCCCCCAGACGCAACAAAGGGCTTAACGGCTCCTTCGATAGCCTCATTAACGATGATTTATCTTGAAGCGATGAGCTATAATATATCTTGGGGCCCGGTGCCTTGGGTAAGTACTCTAATTATTTGACTAACTGCACGACGAAACATCTCAACTGACTGTTTCACACTTGATCAGGCGTACATGGGTGAAATATTTCCAAACAGAATCCGAGAGGCCGGTATTGCTATCGGAACATCCACGCAATGGCTTTTCAACTGTGTCTTTTCATTGGCAACACCTTACGCAGTGAAAAATCTTGGCTGGAAGACATTCCTCATGTTTGGCATTTTCAACTACGCGCTGGTTGTTTTCGTCTTCTTCTTCATTAAGGAGACCAAAGGAAAGTCTCTCGAGGAAATGGAAGCATGTAAGTATCTTCGTTATGCAGTTCCATGTGTTGACACCCCCTGAACGCCAGCGATTGACAATTTGGCAGTATTTGGTGGTGTATCTCCGCAAACTGTTGGCAGACAGGATCTGGCTAGTGAAGATGGGCAATATCACGACGCGGAAGAAGATAGCAGCCGGAGAACAAAATGAGACATATGGCAAAAGAAAACAGAATACTGTAAACCACAATGTTTGAATGAGGGGAGCTATATCTAGGGCCTTTATCTAAGTCGAAAAAGGGAGGAGGCTGCAGACAAATTCATTTCTTGGTAGGCCAACATCACTTTGATACCGCCCGAAATGCTCGCTTTTTCCCAAAAGTTGATTTGCTGTGTGTGCTTGGAATGTAATGAAGACGCTTCGGTCAGAGAACAGCGATGGTCGGCTGGACAGTCGTCTGATTTTGTCTTGTATAAATCCTGGCTCTGGCTACTGTGCTAGCCGAGTCAATAACACGATTTTCCTTATATCCCCTGTAAAGTGGAAATTCATCACCACGGTCCCCGGTTGGTGTCTGGCACAGGGAAACGCTGTTCACTCTTCCTGGGGCCGTACCGCAGCGCGCGGCAAAGGCGACGGGAGCAGGAAGAACCGCGCGCGCAAATGCACCCACAAGGCATAGCGTGCGTATCGTACCGTGAAAAACATGATCGGTCCGACTACTCAACTAATCCTTGAGAGATCATAGTAATTGTGGGAAGAAGGAGATACGGAGAGTCTTATGGGGAAGCAAAGTCGGCATCAAGGGGAGGAAGCCCCTTATTATTATTTTCCTGGCTGTAACAATTTTCCACCCTGCCTAAGCTGCGGAATAGTAGTTTTAAAGTATCTATGAATACATGTAGATAAAGCAGTTTAAAAAAGAATAGCCGCCGGGTACACACTCGTCGCTATTCTCTTGGTGTTCCAAAAAATATGCCCCCTTGTTCGATTACCAGTTGCAAAGGCAATACTGGCCGGGCGAGGCGTTTTTGGCACAAGGGCCACAGTGCACCCTCATCTTCTTCTCGGGAGAATACTTCCTACAGCTCATGCCATTGCCGGCCTTTTGGCAGGTTCCGTTACCACCAGCCTAGAAAACGTCAGTATGGTGATAACAATTCATTTTTGTGAATGCTTACACGACGGAAGATGTCACGCTTCTCAATATACTCATCACGGGCTGCAAGGTACTGCTCTTCGGCAGCTTCAGCAAGCTCACGGCGAGCAAGGGTAAACTCAGAGTCGCTAAACTGCGCAGCAGCACAGCTAGAAAGGGCAAAGAGAGAGGCAACCGCCTTGATGAAATGCATCTTGAAGTTTGGATATGAATGGAGGTTGTGAGAAAAGTTGAGAGAATAAAGAGATAAGAGGAGGTGATTCTTTGGAATACTTGGACTGTTGCTGGATGACTAGACTCTTGGATTGGGTGAGAAAAAGGCGACTTATATCCTTTTTCCCTCTTATCTTCTTATATCAACCTTTGCTCTACTTTTGCTAACCAAGGTAAAAAGTTTTCATACTTCTTTATCAGACTACTTACTACTTACATTATGATATTAATAGAACTGGTCTGATCGCCTGGTCCCAAACGAAATGAAAAGCCTGAAGGTTGCTGCCTATACACGGGGCAACCCGGCCTAGCCTGTTTTCCATCTACTCCAAAAAGCCAGGTCACATCGGCATGTTTTGCCCACCTTTTCACCTTGAGAGAGCCAAACGGTTGTTGTAAAGTTGTCCCAGAGGTTGTGGGCTACCTCAATAATCCATCTATCTTACTTCAATGTGATACCGCTCTTGTTCATCGGGACAGGCCACCGTTGCTTCCTCAGAGCCTCACACAAATGAAAGCCTGCCGAGCGTCAGGTATGATAGACAGTAGGTCTTACGGATAATTGCTTAATACCTACCCCTTCTCAGCTCCCTACCTTCTTAAGCTGTTTTAAGGTTCTTCACATGTTTGTTTTGGAATATCGCTAGCAGATTGCTCGGTAGCCAGCTAACACCCACGTCGAATTCAGGAGTTACTAGGACAAGAGAGCCTGATGGGGCAGGCCGCCGATGGGTTGAAAAAATTTTTACCAAGAGAGATCCCAGTATACACGAGAGGTTTCTGTGGGTAAACCCAACTGCTAATATTAAATTTTCTTATCATCCAAGTACATAGGCCGTGATTCACCTGTTAATATCTTGGCCAAAACGATAGCATAGGTGGCAATCCTTCTCTACCTACTTGAGATGTTGGTACTTTGACTCGATTGGATGTAGGGGCGGCAATACCAAGAACACCATGCCAAGATTGACTGCCGAATCCGGGGTTGTCTAGCCCATCCGTGTAGGAACCAAATTACAAAGTGGAGCATAGCATATACGGTGACCCGAGCATAGTTAGATTTACCCGCCTAGGGCGCATAATCCCTTATTGGGAAGCAAGCCTTGTTTACGGGCAGTTCCCTTTGGTATGAAACGATCGTCATTATAACAAATGGCAAGCATATGGGGTACATGACGCTATAGGCGCGCGGAAGTTAAGATGCCATGGACATAGCTTTTGATTGCAGATCCTTTTTCGCAGGTTTTACCGCTTGTCACTGTCTCCTGACCAGTTTAGCGAAACAGCTCATCCGTGTTCCCTGCTAGATCGAACAGATCATCCTTTGGTGGTGCAACAAGAGGATTAGAAGAGATTACTAAGGCCCATTACAAGTAGCCCTGAATTGTTAATAAAACTCATATTCGTGCAAAAGTATGGAATGGTTATATTGTGGCAATGGAAAGTGTGTAGGTGATATGGCTAGAACTTGTACATCATCCCTTAGCTAGAGCGGAGGGTGCTTCGGTTGGAGTTCCTCACGGAGCATTGCTTAGAGTAAGTTAAGTAAACTGGATCATCCTCAGACTGTGTCTAGATTATCACGGCTTCTCGATTTTAGAAACTCAAGAGGTTTTGATTCGAAGTAAAGATCTTGTCGTCGTCAGCCCATCCACCCTTTGGCAAGGCCAAGCTAGAAGAGGTAGGTAGCATACTATCGGCCGAGCCCGTATTCAAAGCTATTTGCAATAAAAAAAATTTCTAGCCATCAATGTAATTTGTATCCTTTCTGTGCAGGGATTGATCGCTCCCGAAGGATCAATGGGGACGTGTACCTGCGCAAGCATATCAGTGAACCACTGGATACCAAGAGCCTGGTTTCTAGGCTACCAGAAACTGTCCCCTGACCTGGACCCTCGTTAGAATTAATCAAGCTGGAATTCCTCGATGATCATTGACCTAGCTTTTCGCCGCCGCCACACGATAACACAAGAAGTGACGAGGAGATACTAATCCAGCAAGAGGAATGATGATAGCATTGATATATATTGGGTATCTCTCTCTCCTCAACACGTTTGTTGTTTTCTCTTCAATTAAACATACAGCAAAACCAGTACTTTTCTAACCTTTTTTATTCCTTTTCTCTTCTTTGGAAATAACACATTTCTCCAAACTTCTTTCATTACTCGAAACCATACATAATGCTTTTCACTAAAGCTCTACTTCTCTCCTTCCTTGGGGTTTCCCTCTCTACTGCCCAATTTGCGGACAGAGTCGATGCTCGCGGCCTGGATGAAGTCGAGGGCCTCTTTTCTCGTGATGTCCTTGATGCTCATGAGGGGTACCTCCAGGCTCGCGATGAATACATTGAGAAGCGAGATTTGTTCCGCCGTGTAAGGCTCCCGAATAATATTTCCTTCTGAACATATTTAGTGCCTGTGTCTAACTTCAGAATCAATAGCTTGGGGGCAACGGAGTCTGCTACTCGCACAACAAAGGGACTACTATGCGATGCATGAAGCGCGAAAAGCCGGGTGCTAATAAGAAGTACTGCGGACCTTGCCGAAAGACTGCTGCCGTTGGGGAGTACTGTCTCTGCAACCCCTAAGCTCCCACCATTATCCTGGATTTCTGGCCTTTCAAATCAGATGCTAGGAATCAGACATTGGGCAAAAGCCAAGGATTGGACATAGGAGGCTACCGATGGTTGATTGTATCTATCCCACATTCAGCTTCAGTTTTCCTAAGAGATGTAGATTCAAGAGACGCTTTCGCAAAACTCATCATGCCCTCTTGAGTGCAAAAGCGAGCGATCAATGGAATTAACCTTGTAATTTTAGACTTTGTATACTCTCCATAAAACTTAAGGCAATTATTTAACTCTTTATGCTACGCTCCATGGTTGGCTAGCACGCTCCTGTTCACCCAGAGCTAACAAATGAAACTTTGTATCTGCAGAGGTGTCCAATTGACGCATTAGAACACGTCCTGGATCAATTTACATGATGCTATCAAGGAGCACCTAGCCGCAATGGATATATTCTCGTCAAGATGAGCAATTCCGGTGACTTCCTTCAGCAAATGTATGACCTCACTACTCCGATGGTTGGAGAAAGCAATGCCTTTGCTATTGAAATGATTACATATTTGTCTAAATCAAAGAACAAGACAAAGCTTCCCTACACATCCCAGAGACAAGCTCATCGGCTTTGCGGTTTAGTTAGATCTAATTCGAAAACCCCGAGAACTAGCGAATCTCAATAGGGGCTGCATTACCCAGGAGGAAAGTCCCAGAAGACAAGTGGTCGCTGTTATGAATACTTTCAAAGAGTCTAATATTGAGACATGTGATATGCTGATGACCCTCCTACGTGCTAGACTCACTTACAATCGGCACCTTGTATACCTTATCTAACGAAACAGAACTAGCGCCCAAGAGCCTGCAGGACCGTTTATCTGAAGCTGTCACTAGTGAGTTCGGTAGTCGTACTACAAGGCAAAACACGAGCAGAGACAGATAAGAAAAGGGAACTAGTTTAGGAAAGGCTGATTGAATTATACGACTGAAAATTAAGTCTAGCATATGAAGCTGGTTTCGTGTATCCCTCGAGGAAACAATTGTTTGCTTCTTTAGTCTCATAATGCTGATCCTGGGGAGCGAGAATAAGATCTCGTTGAGGGCGAGGCGAAGGTGGTCTGCTGGGGAGAGCCAACGGTGTCGCTCGCAAGCTCGGATGCAACACCAGTATCATGGAGCTCGTAGTACGTCTCGTTTGGGTTATGTGATGGTTGAGCAACATAGCTTGGAGGAGCAGGCGACTTGGCAGACCTGCTGGGTGTCCGTGGCACAGGAGGGCCTCCGTAAAGCTCCTTCGGAAGCTCCGTTGATCCTTCAACCTCGCCCACCTGCTCTCTTCCTTGGTTGCGCCGACGAAGGAAGAACCAGGCAGCGATACCGATAATTGCAAGACCAACAACGCCTCCCACGACGCCTCCCGCAATTGCACCAACTGGAGTACCCGAGGATGAGTTGTCGGATTGATCGCCGGAACCAGAACTGTCGGTGCTGTTGGTAGTGTTGGTCCCAAGGTCTATACATCAAGTTAGTGCTCATGTTGAAAGACGGAGAAGCTGCTTGAACACATACAATTGCTCATGAAGATGCTCTTGGTCTCTTCGTCGTCCCAAATAACATTTCCAAGGCCCCTATTTCAATAATTAGCACTATTCACGAGGATCAGGTCGAGGTGTACAAACCCCGCATCATAAGCCCTCTTAATCTCGTCCGGCATTTCGTATTCGCCGAGATCCGGGTCGAACTCGTCCCTCCACTGAAGTGTATTCAGGTCGAATATTCCCAAAGTGTTGGCCCAGGGATCAGAGCTCTTCCAAGCATCTGTGCTATATTTGGCGTCCAAGCCGCCGTATGAAACCATCTGTCTTTTACCAGCGAGTACGCAGGAGTGGAGTTGGCGTTTCGGAGTATTGGGCGGTGTCACTTTGAACCATCTGAACAACGGGAGAGATAAGACGTAAATATCGGAATATGCTGTTCCTGACTTATCCATGCCCCCGTAAAGATATCTAATAACGAGCGGATTAATTACTGCTATCCGGCTGGCGCCAAGATGTATCACGGGCTTTCACTCACATCTCATATGTCCCGTACTTGCTGCGCACACCAACAGCGCAGGCGCTATCTCGTTCCGAGGGGAAATCTTGAGTCGTCTGAGTCCTCCATCTGTCCGCGATCGGATCGAAGAAGGTAAATTTGCTGAATGACCGCTGAGTTTGCGTGCTGCGGACGGTGCCACCAAGCAGAGCGACGAGAGAGTAATCCAGAAATCCTGAAAGACAGACGGCGTTGCCTGATCTGTGGGTTGCGCCCGGGATGTTGAGATCAGATGTCGACTTCCTCCACACCTTGGTAGAAGTATTGAACATGAACATGCCTGACTGCGACTCCTTTGTATCAGACGTGATGGAAGGGCTTGTTCCACTCCAAGAAATCCCCCCAAAAACATACCCGACCCCGTCGCAGGATGTTGTCGCTCCATTGCCAGTCGCATTGAACTTGTCCTCTCCGGTGTACGCCTGCCAGTTTCCACTGCCGGTGCTGGTGGAAGGGTTTAATGTCAAGAAGTGCTTGTCGTTCTTCTCATACGTCCGGTCGCCAGTCAATTCGCCGCCCCATCTATACAATGTATTTCCTCCTATCCATAGACTGGCCAATATGACTGTTTTTTGGCCGAATATGAAGGGGATTGTCTGGTATTCGATCTCGGCGGGCTTCCAGCGCTTGTTGAGGGGAATAAATCTGGTGTTGCTACCCCCTATTGAGCCAATTGTCAGCACTTTATCTTCATCTACCTTGTAGGTGGGGGAAATTTCCCAGGAGCCTTACATCCATCGGAGTCAAGGGCAAATGGTTCACCATTGACTGTTTCTTTCTCCCCGGAGTCGAGATAATATGACTTCTCTCCACCCTCCAGGTAGAGGAAACCACCCATGTTTACAGCTGCGACGAAAAATGACATTGTAAGCTATGCGCGGCCTTTCAATTGTGTTTTTATTCGAGAGGAATAAATGCAGGGTCGGAATTTACCATTTTGGTATGCTCGTCGCTGGTACAACTTGTTCGAGTCTGTCACGGTCGCGCCCAGAGTCGAGAACAGGCAGGACAGAAGGAAAAGCAATCGTGCCGGCGCCATCTTAGTCGCTATTCGCTTTCGCTCGACGTCGCTGTTGTCGCCGTCTTCTCCGTTAACATACGACCTATCGCTCGCCTTCAGAGTCCGTCATAGGGCCGTTCAAGCATCGCTTGAGAGGAAAAAAAAACACCGCTGAGAGAACAGGAAATGGAGAATGACGAAAGAGCCAAGATGAACGAACTGAGAGGGGACGGACGACAGCGATCATGTCAAACCGGCTCCAGACGCGCCAAGATGCCAAGGCGAGCATCACATTAGTCCAGCAAATCAGCGTCAGGGAACAGCTACCAAAGTCCCTTTGGGATTCAGTGCCCCATTCCAACTTTGGCGGCGCAGTCCGAAGCCTCGGCGGATCAGAAAAAGAAACGTATGTTACGATGTGTCTGAGCAGGTGAGACACATGGAGTGGCTCACAAGCTGAACAAGAAGGCCAACGACATCTGCTTTTCCCTTCCCTCCCTCTATTCTTCCATTTCCCCATGTTCTCCTTATCCTGAATGGCAAACTTGATCTTGTGGGAGCGTGAAATTGTGGGTAACACGACTGGGATGGGAGTCTGGAGGATCAGCCGATGGCTAATGGTCTATTATTAACACGGCCGGTGCGAGACAATTGGGGACGAGCTTGCTGATCCAATTTCGATCCAGTCTGCCGCCCGGCTCTAGCTAGTTAGTCGTTTCATTCTTACTGGGCTGACTCATTCCCTCCACCGTTGGCTGTTCTACTGTTCTCGGGCGGTGATGTATTACCGGGGAATCAAATGCCGTCGGGCTAAAGGCCACGAGATTCACCGAAGTGCGGTGATTGCCAGTTTATCAGCAATAATGAGTGGCTACTGTGCTTTGATGACAACGTAACATTTTGCCCTGACCGACAGATCCGAGGCGACAAGGAAGATCCAAATTCTAGCAAATTGCGACACGGAGGCGCTGAAACAGGAAGCACACTGAGCATCCGTTGTACCCGCAGCCCCTTACCCAAAATCATTCAGCCTGAGTTATTACGAGGTGGTGTCAACAACTCTATTTTGCAGCCAGGGGTATCACTCCGTGCATCGTTCCGACATGGTGTCAGTAGCTTGCGGCATCGTTTATGAGATTCTTATGTTCTTGAGTGCGCCTTATCTGGTGAAGGCGCGGAAGCAAGGGCGCTATCTGATTAAGAGTAAATAAATCAGCGGCTATGCTCCAAAAAATCGAAGTACCGACATTGGATCCAGCTCAGTGCAAATGCTCCCGTGGCAGTTCAACTACCCTGTAGCCACACGCATTTCCCAAGCCACAGCCCTTTAAGTAGATCATGTAGGTTTAGATAACATCATAATTATGGTAAGGTAAAGAGATTCTATCATAAAACTACCAAAACCGGTAGGAAATGGATTGTATACTAATATATCCTCATGGTTCACCGCCGTGCCTTTGCTCCAAGCAACATGAAGTCCCTCATGAGTTCGAGTTCAAAAAGACCCTCCAGCGCCACTTAGTCCTACTGAAAGCCCTAACGCGGCTGATCTCATTGCACTCCTTCCGTTACTTGGATCTGAAGGGGCCGTCATTTTCTCTAGTACTGCGAGATATTGTTAGCTAGCCATCTCAGCGACTGAAGAGCAGGGTCACACTTGCGCTCTCTCTTGGCCCCTCTGCTCTCGGCCAGTTCATACCACAGCATCATGCACCACATGGCAACCAACGCATCCCTTGTGTTTCTACGCACGGGGGCCTCCATTGTCAACGTCGGAAGTTGGCCGTTATGACGTTCAGTGGCCAGTAGTTTGCCATGCTGGTCAAGCCATTGCTGCCCATCCTTGCGACTGTTCTTCGAGTAAAACACGAGTTGTTGATTGTCCTTTGCGTGGAACAGCGGCTTAGTTGAGGAAGTGGTGTCCCGACTCAACTTTGCACTAAACTCGGTTCTCTGGAGCGTATGTTTGTTCGCCTCGAAGATGATGTTTCCAAGGGCCTCCGGGGAGGTAGCCGTAACGAAGTACGGTGGCAGATCATGTCGGAAATCCGCGTTGACGGGATGGACAAGATGGAATATAGGAGTGGTGACGGGCTCACCGTTTGTTTTCTCGGAGGCGCCCCGCTCAACGCGATGCAAGTGGATTGACGATGACTTGTTCTTTGGTGGCAGCGCGGTTATGTTGCGGCTTAATTGATAAAGCAGTGTATTGTCTCCTGTGTTCTCAACGACAATCTCCGTGCCCTGCAATACCAGGCTGACTGGTTCCATGAGCTCGTGTGGAGCTTGCCCAGTTGCGACTTCATAGGATGGAGGAGGCTCCGTGTCTAGAGTGACCGTTCCCATGATGCTTAGAAATATGTAAACGAACTGTGTCAATAGCACGGAAGTCTCGATGTTCTTGGAGACTGGAATCGGGGTTACTGGGGGACTAGATGAACGTGGGGCTGAAGAGAGCAAATGATGCTGCTTTTAGTAGTAAAATTGATGGCAAACTAAGAAAGTATCAGTTGAGCCCGAGTAAGAATGAATAGAGTAAATGGTATTTTAAAGTGTGTGCCCAAACTCATTGCGTCATCACCGAAGCTGTGTGGCTGTGAGTTGGGATCTGCACTCTGTCGGAAGGAAAAGGGATAGCGGAAAGAGGCACAATATATTAAGTACGCGCAATTAGATTCTGCTAGTAACTACTTATGTGGTATCCCTGCTTTAAACATGATGTATCAGCATGATATGCCTTGTATTCGGCTTCTCAAGCGAGTCCTTGTCCGACATCAATTCGGGCCAATCGAGATATCAATACAGAGCACCCGGAGACGGCTGTTTTTATGGCTCAGTAAACAACGTTATTAGGGATATAATAAAACTTTTGCTCTGACCTAATGCTAACGGTGCATTAAAGACTCGAGGTTTCTAAACTCAGGATCACACAGTTCCTACTTCAACTCATGTCATCGTGCTTGGCATATCCTGGGGCCGAGATACCTATTTGGCACAGGCGTTATCAAATTCTGCCCCATCAAACCGATCGGCAATGAAGCGAAGCCATTCGGGCCTAGACTCGGCAACCACCCCAGAATGATCCTGCCCGGGGTAGATGCTCAGCCGAATAGGGTTACCATGTGAGCAAGCGTCCTCGAAAGCGGATATGGTGCTGTTCACGGGCACGGTGGCGTCCTTGTCGCCATGCGCGACGAGAAGCGGCCGGCTGGCTGAAGACCCTAGCCCAACACCGTTGATCTTCTGGAACTCCATCGACGTGTAGTCCCTGGAGGCGTCGAAGCTAGCGAGAAGCTTATCAGGGGACGAGGTGCTGAGGAGGCTCCACATGGCGGTCACACAATACTGACCCAGTCTTGGAAGCTCAAAGAGCTTCTTCGCCTCGTTGGATAGCCAAGTGGGATTGTAGTCGGGAAAGACTGCCTTGATACCTAGATAAACGCCGATCATGGCGGGGAGGTAGGAAAGAGCAGCGGGATCAGTAGAGTCTCGGAACATGTCGAGTCCAGACAGAATCTGTTCATGAGTCTGGGGGGCAGCGGGAGCCATGGCGACGCCTCCTAAGTAACCGCTGCTGGGGTCTTGCACAAGCTTGTGCTCAGAGAGCTTCCAGACAGCAGAGCCGCCCTGTGAGTGCCCAAAGGAGACCCATTCGTTTGTCAAGCGGTGCGGAAATGCCGACTTGGCGGCCACGACGGAGTGAATCACGTCGTTGGCATGAGCGGCATTGCTCAGATACTTGTGGTTCGTGTAGTTGTTTCCCAGACCAGTATAGTCAGTCGCTATAACGGCATATCCGGTCGTTTCCCAGCCTTGATAGCTGGGCATAGCATTGGACACAGAGGGGGCACAGCCCCTGAAAATTCCAGTGGTGCCGTGCGCAATTGCCACGAGCTTGTATGGGTCCGCCGCCTCTGTTACCGGAAACGCAATGAAGGCAGTGGCTGGGACGGGCGACCCTTCCAAGTCTTCAGACGTATACTGCATTTTATAAACGGTCGTGCCCGGCTCGACGCCGATGGTAGAGCTATCGACGAGGTTGAGCTTAAGGACATCTCCAGGGTTGGAGGCTGTGAAGTTCGCCGCTGTGCTGTAAAACTCAAAGTCAAACTCGGTTCCGAATATCTGTAGGTCAGCCGCGTTTGCTTTGGCGACGGCGGCTTGACATTCGGCATCACAGCCATGTTCCTCCATTAACTCAGGGGGAAGATCAAAGTTGGAAGCTTGCTCCGCCTTCGTGAGGCCAAGGCAGAGCATCGTGGTAAGAAACAAAGAATGAAGAAACATTGCGAACGGCGATGGTTGGCTAAAAGATGTGCTGTAATGAATAGAGAGTGAAAAACATATGGTTCTAGTGAACCGAGCTCGTTTATATATATTTTTTCGACAATAGAGACTGAGGTAGGAGTATTGAACCTCGGCAATGTTGGTGAATAGTCTTTGCTGACTGCCCATGGAAAGCAGAGGTTTCAATCTGGTCCCCTCAATGTCGGCCATTTCAATAAGCCGTACATGGGTAGGGGGCGCTCTAAAGGCGCCTTGAAGGGAAATGATAATCATGACCCTTGCTCGGCACATAGGACCCTGTTCGGATCATGCTCAGCCCCCGATGAACATCAGCGCTTCAGCAAACAAATATTCCGATTTCTCTTTACATCAACCTTCTCCACGGAGCCAAAGACTTACCGCCTAATGCTGCTCTTTAATTAACGCTCGCTTAATCCCAGAATCTTGTATATCATTAATGGAACATGGTCTGTGGCCCGTTCGACAACCGGCGAGGAGGTCATCGTTGCGTCAGCTGCCGAAGACTTCACAAGCGGGTAAGTACACTTGGTCAGAGGGGAGTTCTCGGCTGGACTACCGCTTAATGATAACGCGCGCAGTGCGATGGAACGCCCGGAAAGATATCCTGCTCCTATTGTATAGCCCGTTTTTTGAAATGCTCTTATTCCATACGGCGACCAAGGGAAGAGATCAAGTTGACCTTGGTGCTCGCCAAGCCACCCGCTCCTCCTAAGGCAATTATTTTCCCGTGCTGGAAGCATAAAACTATGTGTTTCGAAGACGCATTCGGGGATTTGCCACAGTTCTCCGTATTATGGTCCGATGCTATGGTAGCACTGAGCCAATATGATCATGACGTGAGCAGTGTCATTGAGCTTGCCGGAGAGGTGCACATGATCCGAGCAAGCGGGCCATCTGAGCTCGAGAAGCAACGTACAAGGCTGCAAAACCTCGCACATAAGCAAATGGAAATATGTGCCGGGCAGATGAGATACTACTGCAAGGAAAAGACGTGGGCGAGTGGGCCGATAGCCTGCGCGCTGGTTTTAATGGCGGTACATGTAAGCGGGCGCCTCCCCCTATCTTTCCCTACTTAGGTATCTTTGCAAACCCAGCGCAAAATCGATCATGGCCTTCTACTTTTATTTGCTACTGCCCTTTTTGCGAGCATTGCTGACCACCCCCAGTCCGTCTTAGACAAGTATTTCGATCCAGTCGCATCACTGATGCCAATCGTCTCCGGCTTCGTTGACGAGACATTTAAACGTGGTTCGGACTTGTCTCCCTTTGATGAAGACCTGGTACGACTTGCTCAGTTGACGGATTCTGTGAATGCAGTTTCACGGTCGGTAAATCCCTTTGGTCCTAACTTTACCACCGAATCCTTTTTAGGTGAAATCCCTTCGGCATCTCGCACTGATATTAACATACTTTCGCTCCTGAATAACGATATCGACCATATACTGGAAGCAACCTGGCGTTGGGGAAGTCTTCAAGGGAGGTATGGAAGTAATACGTTCCGCCCAAAAACAGTCCGCTGATCAATTGGACAGAATGTTTGACTGGCTCGCCGAAACTATAAATCACCCCTCTACCCAACTCAACGCGGAGCAGAAGGTCAAAGGATTAGGAATCATGTGCGAAGCATCATCACTACAGATGAGATTGCTCCAATGTTTCCTGCAGCTCAGCAAAACCTCAGAGTCGAACTATCAACTGCTCGCTTCATACAGCTACTGGGTCCTCATTAGCATCTCCCAGCTGCTCAGACACGACAGCTGGAAGTCCCTCCAGTGTGACCTCCCAATCATGGCACCGGACCAACTGCACGAATACGCGCTGGAAAATGTGGGTTGTATCACTACCATCATTAATCGGACTGGGTTGCTCAATGGCGTTATCGTGCCGCTGTTGTTCTCAATGGGGTTGGAGATGGTGTCGTACGAGGACCGTAGGAGGGTACTGGATATTCTGGAAGAACAACAGGCTCAAAACTTTCCTCTTTCTGGAGTTTTCCGGAGAGCACTCTTGGATGCATATGCAGGCCTGGCCGTCAGAAGATATACGACAGTCTTTATCAGACTAGATACGATAGATTGAAGAATCTCCAGACAAGTTTCAAGGCGTAATGCTTACTTATAGGTGGCCACTACTACATGGAAAGGAAGCTGAACTTATAGGGTCTTCGAACTAATATTTTGTGACGTTTGAAGGCTGAACACAGAGTATCTAAGCTGGAATGGGAAATAAAAATGAGAGCCTTTGGGTGTTGCTGGATTTGGACGACTAGTGGAACTCAACATGACAAAGGCACCCAGTGGCAGTGTCAGAACTGGTTGCAGGGTGCGATCGACAGGCGGTGGGCTGTCAACCGTTGTCGCCGATACAACGCAGTAAAGGGATCTAATCTCAAATTGGTAGTGAGAACGAGAATGCTTGATTACTACCATACTAGGCTAGTAGACGAGGAGGCGAACAACCGAATGCAGTCACGAGATAATCCTATATATGCACTGGTTTGCTTACCATCAATTCACCTCCACCCCACGATGTTGACAAGAACAACCTCACAATACCAAATAGAAAGACCAATAATGACGACTCGAGACGGGTTCTATCTCCAAAATGACAACGACTTACTCCAGAAGGGCCTGAGATGTGCAGGAGCCATTAACCCACCAACAAACGTTGGTGGCAAGAGATCACGAGTTTACGATGTCATCGTCGTTGGTGCCGGATACTCTGGATTGACTGCTTGCCGAGATCTTTGCATAGCTGGTGGGTAACTCTGAGTTGGACAATGGTGACAGAACTGATAAATCGCGGCTAATAGGGTTCAATGTCCTCCTGCTCGAGGCTCGCGATAGGATCGGTGGACGAACCTTCACTGCAGAAGTCGACGGTCACTTGTACGAGATGGGTGGCACCTGGGTCCATTGGAACCAGCCCCATACCTATCGAGAAATGTCCCGCTATGGCCTGACTGAGCTGCTGCTCAGCCACGACAAATCTGTTGGTGTCAACTACTATACAGCGTTGCTCAATGGCAATCGTCAGATTATTGACCATGAGAAAGCGGTACAGGCATCCCCTCCTTTGCAGGCCATGAAGTGTGGTTGTGCTAATAAAATGACAAGCATGCCATGACCGAGAAAGCCTTCCGAAAGCTCTGCGACGTGGATGGTAAGCTGGGACGAGAGGTCATGCCGTTGCCGCATGATCCGCACTTCAACCCCAAGGTCAAGGCATGGGAAAAGATGTCGGTCGCTCAACGGCTGGGCCAGATCAGGCATGATGTTACCGAGGATGAGATCACTCTCCTTCAAGCCCGCCTATCTTCAATCTATGGAGCTGATATGGACAAGGCTGGTTTCTTCGACGTCCTGAGGTGGTGGGCGTTGGGTGGATATACGATGGATGGCCTCTATGAAACTGGAGACGAGTTCAAGCTTCCGACTGGGCAGTCGAGCTTCGCGCGATGCTTTTTTGATGAAGCTCTCAAGACGCAAAATCTCGCATACTCGTTCAACACTGCTGCGGAGACCATCGAAGACAAGGGCGACCGGGTCATTGTCAATCAGCACTGGGAAGGGAAACGGCTGATTTGCACTCTTCCTCTCAACCTGCTTGAACATATCCGTTTCGAGCCGCCTCTGAGCACTGCCAAGATGACGGCGGCCACTCGTCCCGGAAACATCAACCATGGTGCAAAGGTCCATCTTGAGGTCCAAGGCGACGCACTTCGATCATGGTCTTCTGCATCCTTCCCGGTCAAAAGGGCCTGCAGCGCATTCGGAGACGGCACGACCGCCAGAGGAACCACACACGTTGTCAGCTTCGGTGTCAACAAGTCATTCTCAACCCCTGAAGAAGATGCTAGAGACTATGTAGCGGACTGCAAGAGGTTGCACGACATGGATGTCAAGAAGACGGTAGGCCTTCAACCACTCACTTCATATTGTTAGTGCCTCGAATACTAACCATGATATCTTTTTGATCTTATAGATCTGGCATAATTGGAGCACTGATCCCTACTCGCGAGGCTCGTGGTGCATGTATCCCCCAAACTATAGCTTCGAACACCTTTCCGCGCTGCAGGAACGGCAAGGAAATATCTTGTTTGCAAACTCTGACTGGGCTATGGGGTGGCGCGGATACATTGACGGGGCCATTGAACGAGGCGGATTGGCCGCCAAAGAGGTTTCTGAGGAAGTGTTCTCGTCCAAGATTTAACTAACTTGAATATCAGAGCTACTTTTATCCTAAACGTGCCTTGCGAGGAACATCCGACATGCTCAGGGCATTGCCACGCCGTGTGTGGTGACTGTCCTCTCACCTTCTGGAGCCCTGTATAATATATGCCTACAGCCTGATTGGATATCGTGACGCGACAGAGGCACTCTTGCCGTTGACATGAAGTTTCGAAATCTCCCAGGCCTGGAAAGGCTCGCCTAGATCGTATAAACCAATTTTGTGCCACGGACCTTTCCTTGTCGAAGCTCATCAACTCCTTTGATCACACCTTGCAGTCCAGCACCAAACCTATCTACCGTTGGTTTTATCGGATGAAGGCGCCCCTGCTCCAGGAGTTCGTATACAATGTCGACGAACTTGGCCGAAAATTCCATTTCCTCTATGTTGGCGTCTATGGGATTGCCACCAAGCTTCCAGGATTCACCAAAAGCGTTGTATGCGGCAGTGAGAAGAGGCCCTTGTGCAAGCGGGTTGGTATCTTTCAGCAGCTGCTCATTGATGGGATAAAAGATGGTACAGAAGAGACTGGGCTCGACACTGCTTAGGGCCTTCCCACATATCACCTCGCCTTCTCCGGCGCAGTCCAAGGCGAGTTTGAGTTTGTTTTCTGTTAGCGCGCGGATCTGTTCACCGCAGTCAGGGGAATGGTAGTCAAACACGGCGTCAGTGCCTAGAGCTTTGACGTTGTCAAAGTTGTAAGGTGATGCGGTCGCAATGACATACAGCCCGGATGCCTTGGCGAGCTGGATGCCGAGGGTGGCTGTAGCTGTACTCCCCCCGTGGATGAGGATGGAGGTTGATTGTTGAACTTTTGCTGGCGGTAGTGGCAGCTGGAGATGTTTGTATAATCCAAGACCCTGTTTAACCAAGTCAAAATTGCTGAACATTCTACAGCCTTTTCAATGGAAGTATGGACGAGAACCTACACATGTTATCATGCCAGCCCCAAGCGTCGATGCTTCGATAAAGTCCAAGTGATCCGGAATTTTTATTTGAATGCAGGCCTTGGCGGTGATGAGCTCGCCAAATGCACCATTGTCATGGTTCGTAGCATCCCTACAAACTTTGTCAGTCAAGTTTGAATATGTTGGGATGTTGGAGGTGGACCTACCCTCCGTGAACAAACCCGGCAATTCTGTCTCCTTCTTGAAATTTAGTGACTTTGCTACCTACCTCATACACGATTCCCGCGTAGTCATATCCTAGCCTTGAGCCAGCATCTGCATCTCCCCAGTCAATCTTCTTGAAGTCAGCTGGGTTAAGGGCCACGGCCCTGACCTGAACGATGACCCATTCGTCACGGAGCTGGGGTACTTTGACGTCCTCGACAGATATCGTTTTGTAGTCTGAGACGATGATAGCCTTTGTAGTCGGCATATTTGATGTATAGACTGTGTAAGATATGTGAATACCTTGGATTAGGAGAAGAAGAATGATCAGTTAATACTGTTCAAGTCAACCAACTGACCTTCTAGCATTGAAGGATCAAGCAGAGCTAGGCGTTATAGAAAGCTTAAATATCTCTGCAAAACTCCCTGTTACCGGCCGATGTTAGAAATATTTCGATGCTTATAAATCTGGTTTGAATAATCGAAGCCGCGCCAAATTTATTCCAGTCGCTTGATCGTGAGTGGAGTCCATATTTCCTGTGGTCCACGGAGTTTGCGTCATTCAAATCCGTGGAAAAAAAGTCCGTGGAAATATTGTAGGTTGATCCTACTAGTACTTGATATCGAGGACTCGGCGTATCATCTCTTAGTAGTCCCTGAAGAATTGAGATGGAACTTCAACCCTTGTTAATTAATGGTCATGGGGGAAGTCAGAAGTTAAATTATATTACGGCTTCATTTATGAATGCGGTATGCTATCCCCTTCCGCGCCCATCGCTCAGAAGCGACCCACGACTGTCTCATAAAATTTGAACGAAGATAGGTATGTCTCTCGCATAAGCCTCCGATGCCTTCGTTTTCAACGTGAATTACTCGAAATGTGTGATACCCGATCAAATTTGGTATTCACTTGGGGGTAGGGAGTTATGACGAAGCATAGCCTGGATTACGAAGAAGATATTCTCACCTTGCCAATGCCTCTCGAACCCTGGCCGCAATGATCTCAACGCTGGCCGCGTTATAATCAGCGAGGACGCCTGCTGTGCGATGATCGCTCTTGTTACTTGCAGATCCAACGTGCTGTAAACGGAGCAACTTGAGGACTCGCAGGAACTGTTGCCTAATCCAATACACTTGGCCTCTTCTTAAGAAACCAATCAATGATCCACTGGGGCTTTCATCGGCGAACACGTCCACAATGTGAATGAGGGTATGCAACATTTGCCACGAGCCCTGAACAATCGCATGCCTCCGATGATCATCCTTGGACATGAAATACTTGCTCCCGAGGTAATTGACATAATGAAGATCAGTTGGATCTAAGTCATGGTAGCTGGGAAACTGAATATTTGGGTCCCCGAGATTAGAAAGAGTTATTGGTTTGAGAAGGTTCCCCAAATGAAAGGGAACACTTTGACATATCGAATCAACTAGGCCCCGAAGGAGATTACGGCCTTCATTGTGGTCGGCAGGTTCCATTGAGACATCGGAGGGGATTAATTCAATATCGCTTCTGTGGACAATCAATTCAGGGAATTCCGCAAGAAGCCTCAGTCTGATCCTTAAGAGCAGGACTCGGTACACCCGCCAGACGTTCCAAATGGCCGCGATCTGAATGTTTGGATACACATCAGAAATCCCTCTGAACGTGTCAATGGCATTGTCGATATGATCGTCTATTTTAACGCTCCGTGGATGCCAGTGGCTGGGCACCGTGTGTGGCCACTGCTGAAGCTGGACCTCCGCATGCCGGATACTCTCAAGCCATTGTGCGATGCCTGATGTAGAAGTCGTTACATCCGAGTCTCCTGATAAAAATAGAGAAAACTGGTGCTGATGGTTCGCGACGGATACGCCAATCGTGTCAAGCATCGTGCTTGGATTCGCTGGCAAGATGGCCGGATTATCCATACACGCAATTTCAGCAATTGGAAAAGGCTCTTTCTTCCGAATACAAGCAGAAACTTCGATATGAAGAACTTGTGATATCAGGTACCCGTGGTTGTCTGACTTGATCCCATCAAGTTGCTGCTGCCGAAGAAGAGCCAATGCCCCATTGCGATGAAGCCCAGATGGTTTGTGCGAGTTCCACGTGGCGGAGAGACGGTCGTAACGCTGAAGCAGGAGGGCGGCCAAAATGGTGCCTTCGCGGCTCCTCAGGACCGGGTCTTGGATTGCTGATCGAAGACACGCATTTGCCTCTGACAGGATTTCCACGGGCGAAGATGGCCCGGACCCATGAGCCATCGACCAGAACTGCAAAGCAGCTACGTTCAATGCTAGGGGGAGCGGAGAGCCTGGACTCTCTACCGCTAGAGCTGGAACCAAGACTTCCAGAAGACCGCGTGTCGATTCGAAATCGCGGCCCAAGACAGCAACGTGGGCGAGAAACGTGGAGACAGCCTCGGTTTTCACATTCTCGGTCACCAACAACAGCCGTTCTTTCAATGGCGAGGGACTGGGCGGTGCGCTATCCACAAGCACCGGGTGTCGTTTCGTGCGGATTCGTACGCTCTCTTGACGCTTGCCCTTGTTCTTGATCTCTGGGACTTGAAACCTGAGTCGCAAGGGCTCTTCAGTATATCCTTGGCACCGGTAACCAACTCGAGAACACTCGCGGCATAACGGCTTCGCCTCGTCGCACCTGACGCGTCGCTGCTTGCATGTCTTGCACCCAGTCGATCGACCGCGGTTAACCATGTTGTAGCGGGGGAAGGACAGACAGAAGATTGAGGTGAGAATACTGCCAAGCTCGAAATGGGACAACTTTGCGATGAAGGATGGCGCGTGCCTTTTAAATACTTCGATTACCCGCTCTGCTGACGGGCCCACAAACCGGCGATCCGAGCTTGATTCACCTGCCAGAGGCGCAGTAGCGATTATGCATAATGACTCTCGCAGAATAACCCCCTAATCCGGTATCGCCAAAGCATTATCTTCGTCATCGTCAGTGGGGCACTGGAGAATAAGCCAAACCTCACGGGAGCGCTACCCGACTAACAGAGAGCTCCCGGTATGATGATTATGATCATATATGTGAATCTCTAGCTGTGTATACAAATACAAATACATATATATAGGTTGGATTGTCGCTCAATAAACTAAATTTTCTAACTATCAACAACATCATCCATCTTCCTTCTACATCTTCCCACTAAGTTCCAGTTGCACAGTTATCAATATGAAATTCTCTCCAGTTGCAGGCGTTGTGGCCGCCTCAGCCTTTTTGAGCGTCTCCAACGCGCAAGAGCAGGAGACGGATCCAGTACTTCTCCTAAGCTCAGACTCAGCTTTCCACGCCGAAATGCTGGGCGGTATGGGCTACGCGATCGGTGGCGGAGCTGACATCTCCCCCATACTTGCTGCCGCCAAAGACGTGATCCCAGGAGATTTCCAGCGATTCGGCGATGTCTTCTCAAAGCTCGCCGAGGAGACGAAGAGTCAAGCCTTAGACCCCGATAATGCATACGACCCCGTCAATGTACGGGATACTTGGTTCTCGACTGCAAACTATTTCAGACGAGCCGACATGTTCCTCCACGGCAACTGGTCAAACCCGGCCCTCAAAACCTACTGGGAAGAACAGCTTAACGCTTTTGATCGAGGAATCGCGGCACTGCCAGTTCCTGGGGAGCGCATCCAGATCCCTGCCGACAACTTCACTGTCGAGGCGATTTGGTACTCTGCATCTCCCGACAACTCAACCAAGCGGCCTACTTTGATCATAGGGAATGGATTTGACGCTGCACAGGAGGATATTTACCATACCCTCGCAGCGCACGCGTTGGCTCGTGGATGGAACGCTCTCACCTACGAAGGCCCAGGACAACCTACAGTCAGGAGAAGTCAGAATTTGGGATTTATCCACCAGTGGGAGCGTGTTGTTACGCCTGCGGTTGACTACCTTCTTGAGAATAAGAGCTCGGAAATTGACACGGAGAAGCTTGTTCTTTTTGGTAACTCCTTGGGTGGCTATCTTGCAGCCCGGGCTGCCGCCTTCGAGCCGAGAATCAAGGCTGTGATGCTAAATGGTGGCATTTATGATCTTCATGAGGGGTATACAGCACAACTCACGACTGACCTGGCGGAACTCTACCACTCAGGACAGAAGGAGTCGTTCGACGAGGCTGCACTGTCGATCCTCGATGACAGAAATGTGTCGAGCCAGCTCCGGTGGGGAATTGAGTACGGGATGTGGGCTTTCAATGTCAAATCACCTTATGAATTCCTCCAACTGACCCAGCAGTATACTGTCAAAGACATTCTTGGCCTCATTAAAGTTCCCGTGTGGGTAGCCGACTTTGAGTTTGAAGGTATCTTTACCGGACAGCCGCAAAGGGTCAAAGATGCCTTGGGCGACTTGGGAACTCTGTATACATTTAACGGGTCCGCTGGTTACCACTGCCAGCCTGGCGCCTACATGGAGATGAACCGTGCCATATTTGCGTGGCTTCACAAGACGCTTGGCTAATGGCATCTGCCATGTTTCTGTTGGAATCCTCCCGGAAGCGGTGCCCTGATAAAGACAAAGATATTCCCCGCTAGCCTTGAAATCAACTGACAGACACACCCCAATGTTGAATAACCCCGAGAGTCTATTGAAATTAACTGAAGAACTCCCTCACGGGATACTGAAGCTTGGCATTTTATGTAGTCATAAATAAAAGAGACTTAGGCTCTTCCAACAACTCTGTATAAGCATACATCGCGTTGAAAGAAGTCAGGTCAAATCTTGAAATGAACTTCAATTTACTTACAGTGATGATATAATAATTCTGCCTAGGCCGTCCTTGTGAATCAACCTATCTTTAGTGCCATTTGTGCGTCGACTAGTGAGGGCAGCTCGTCCGGCATAGAAGCAGCCATATATCAACAGCATCCCACAGGAGGACAACACTAGTCTGCGACTTAATATGCTGCCTAGATTTTATTTACTCTCATATCTGATGAGAGTTGGTTTTCAATTAATAGGACATTGTACCTAGAGCTATCCACCTAGGCAGGATACATTTTTATGTTTTCAGTTGTCCGCTACGAAAACCCCAAACCCATTGGTGATGATACTGGTCGTATGTAAAACAAAATGGCTTAGATTGATTGAATTGGTGCCGGTGGAAATTAGGTCTCTGATAGTCCTGACTACCTTAGGCAACCTAGGTATAGTAGAAGAGTCGTTAGAAACCGACATGAAGGATATCCATGTCACGACTCGGACTAAATAGAAGGTAGCAGACATCACCAAATGAGCACAAGAACTCCGGGCCATTC